TTATGTTAAAGATACTAGAACACAACTTTTGTAGAACCAAGCTAATAGCACTCTAAAGACATAAATTTGTCTTTATAATTTTTTTTAGACTGACACAGTGGGGTAGAAATCATAAACATTTTACTACTCTTTGATAATTAGGGATGACAAATTCTTTAATATTTCAAGGTGTAATAACCTACTAGCTTTCACGCTAAAAGGTGGAAACTAGTAATCCCTAAAATAGGAAGTATCTGTGTTTTATATGGAAATAATTATTTACAAACCCTTTACTAAATACGTCCTTACTTGTCAGAGCTATTGTTAAAAAAAATTAAAAAACTCGTTAAGATTAACCAAGTTGTTTCTTAAAGTTTGGAGTGAGCGTGTTCATTATATTTATGCGACAATAGTTAAGCAAAACAAGTTTTAAATTAATATAAAAATTAATTACCAATTTTATTAACTATTTTAACGACCATGAACTCATTATCATTTTCTTTTACTATGTAGTTCAATAGAGATAAAATAATTTAAAGCTTCTCCAGATGTAGGTAATGATAATTTGAAAATTAAAAACGAACTTAAAATATCTTTCTTTCCACTAAACCCACCACTACCATTTTAAATATTTCCTGACAATAATCTCTCTTATCCACCTTGCCTCAAGCATTCTTGCACGATGCGCACATTTTAGGATTTACATGCTTCTGCAATATTTTATCATATTGTTTAAAGAGGTTTTATTACAAGTTTATGATTATGTTAAAAGGGAAAGGAGAACTTTACTCTGATTTAAAACCTAAACCCATTTTGTTTGAGAAACTATGGAAAAAGCTTAAAAATCAAATTACTTGTGTATTAACTGCTAAAGTCTGTAAGTTTCCTGATGACTTTTTTAATCTTTAGGATTCTTTTTACTTCTATACTACATGCAAACTGTTTTTATTATTTAATTCAAGGCGTTACTTCATCCTCATTACTTTTTTTCCTCAGGTTATCCGCCAATAAGTAAAATGGAAATGTGTGAGGATGTCTACAGGGCTTGTGTGTCTTGTCCCTCTCATTCCGCCGAGTTATACTCTTGTGTTCAGCAATACTTAATCACTCACCTTTACGACATAAGTGAGGTATGTGTACATCAATTTTATATATCTTTTACCGAACTACAACCCTTATTTTTAACCTTATTACCCTGGTATAAAGTACCCAGGATTTTTCTAAGTTTATAATCTTGCTTTGTAAACTGTAGGAAATTGTAAAAGGGAACTTGCTGAAAAGCTATTACCAGAAGTGGAAGGTTTACCAAAGAGGTGCTTACTGTTTGGACCACGCCTTTTATTATTTTAATATGGTAACTAACTACCTCGCTGACTGTCAAGACATTAGCTTTAACTTATATGCTTTTTATGCGCATTTAATAGAATTGCGTCAAAAATTTGCCCAAGCCTACCTTTTACACTATAAGTCAGGTGCTAAAATTTGTATTTTTTAAAAAAATTGAAAGTCTGCTTACTAGTACTAATAATCTTTTCCAGCTTTGTTTAGAAAAGTGGAGAATTCACATATTTGACTTATATAAAGCACAGCTGGTTTGCTTGATTTTGGCGGTATTATCAGTTATTTTTCCTTCCCTTTTAATTTTTTTATCTAAAGTTTCTCATTTCACCTCTTCAATATTATTTTAGGAAATAGAAAGTGACAGAAACGGCAACTTCGTTGATCCCTCGCCGGTGAAGGGGGCCATCGACTCTTTTGGTGTGTGCCTTCATAGCCGCCTGCCATCAGTTGTGTTACCCTATTCTTCACAGTCTATCTGAATCCTCCCCTTTCGGCTCCCCTCCTCCTGTACCAACAGGCCTTTGAAGCCCCTTTCCTAGAGGTTACTTCGCAGTATTACAGCAAGGAGGCTGCCTTATTCGCGTCTGAAAGGGATTTCACTGCCTATATGATAAAAGTTTTTTTGTGTGTATTTATAAGAACTTCTAACTCTCGCATCATTCCTGTTTATATTGAAGGCCTTAAAAAGGATCGAGGAGGAAGAAGCACGCGTTCGAAAGTTTGTTGATCTAAGCAGTTATTCTAAAGTAATTTTACTTAAGATTCTCTTGTCTACTATCTATCTAAAGAAACAGCTCTTTTTTCTATATATTTCTACTAACTTTTGATGTTTATTTTTGTGTATGTTTTATATATCCTCTACTTGTTAAGGTACTTGAAGAATGCGAAAGGCAGTGGATCACCAATCAGCTCGCTTCTTTTGAAGTTGAAATAAAAAACTATCTGAGGAAAGGAGACGACGAAGGCACCTTTTATTTCTGATCCTTTTATCTTCACCTATTAGTACTTGTCGCTCTCGAAAGCCCTGTCGGTGCTGTATTCTTTGATCAAGCGAGTCCCTCCTCTCGTCGAACCGGTCTCTAGTCGCATGCTTAACTATTTATCGGAGGAGGGTCTCGTAAGAGGCTCTCCTGGCCACTCCGACCCTGTACTCGTCTTTCATATTAGGCAAAGCCTCCTCACCTTCACTTGTCCTATTGCGGCACTGATCTTCTATTTTCAAACACCCTTAATTAGAATAATAATGAGTTTAATAGTGTTTTCCTCCTTTTTTAGGTTACCCCCGTGGACTACGTAGACTTTCTGTTTTCTATGCGCTCCAACTATCTTGCACTTTGTAGAACAGCTTTTGAAAATAACGCCTACTTTATTGCTGCCGTCGACAAGGCACTCTTTTATTCACCACTTCTTTGTTCTTTGCTATATTTGGGTTTATTGCATCGCTGAGCAATCATCTTAAGGCATTTAGAGTTGTCATTAACGCAACGAACGGAGAGCGACATCTTTCTAAGAGCCCTGAACTCCTTGCATTCTACTGCGACGCTTTTCTTAAGAAATCAAGCAGAAACCCCGTTAATTACGATATCGACGAAAAACTAAACAAAATGGTAACGTCAGATTCGATCCTATCCAGTAATTTTTATGCGGTGGTTCTCCTGCTTGCTTATCCGCATCTCTTTATTAACCAGGTCACACTCTTTGAATATCTTGATGAGAAAGACGTCTTTCTGAAGTTTTACTCGCGTCTTTTGGCTAAACGGCTTATCAACAGCACTTCGTCCTCTCTTGAGGCAGAAACCCAGATGATAAGTTCACTAAAAGTCAGTGTTGATCAAAAGTAATACTTCCCACTAAACTGATCTTTACTGAAGCAAACGTGCGGGAATGATTATACGGCCAAACTGGAAAGCATGCTGACAGGTCCGCTTTTATAGATCTTAAGTGGCAATTTGTGGATCAGTGTACGCATGTTCCCCTTTTCATAGACATTGGAACCTCTGAGAAGCTGAGCGTTGCCTTTCGGAAATATCTATGCGACCACCGAGAAAACACTTTTGATAACTTCCGCATAGTGGTACTTGGCCGAGCATCTTGGCCAATAGCAGCCCAGGTTTGCTTTGTAAGGTATCCATGTTTACTCAATGAGTACCGCTCATTTGTTCAGCAACCGTTTCCCCAACCCCCTTCTGTCTTAAAGCAAGTTTTGCTTGCGTTTGAAAAATTTTACGTCTCGCAACATTCCGGGCGGAAACTGCAGTGGCTTCCTTATCTATCCAAGTGTAGCTTTCCTGATGCTTGCTCTCCTCTTATGTTCTACATTTCGTATAAAATACCTTTTAGGCGAGCTCCGAATGAACTATTTGCCCAGGCGTTACGAGGTGCAGTGCTCTTTCTACCAGATGAGCATACTTTTGCTGTTTAACTATAAAGACACTGTATCCATTGAAGAGGTATTCGTGTTTTGACGCTGCAACCTCTTTTCTACTTCTTCTAGACATCTTTAACAAAAGATAGAGGTAAACACGTTGCTAAAGGGGGCCCTACTCGACAACACGCTGGCCACGTTAATTAATGCAAAAATCTTAGCGTGGAGTGGTACTCCTGCACAAGTCGTCTTAAACAAACGCTTTTCTCGAGCGAGGGTGAGCATATATGACCCATGTAACTACCCGATACTCAGCGATGATACCACAGGGCGGCGGCAAATTTAAGTTACCTGCCTCCATTGGAGAGACAGAGAACCAGAAAGACGCTTCCAAAGCTACTATCGACGCCGTCATTACTGACCGGCAAATCTCCTTGCAGGTGCATGCCTCGCATGGGGTTGCTGTTAAGGAGTTAAGTGGTTTGGTTTGAAATGCTAATGTCAGGCAACCATCATGCGTATAATGAAGACCCGCCGAAAAATAGCTCATCGGCAGCTCCTTAGTGAAGTTGCGTCCCAAACATCTTTAAGGTACCTTCATTAGCTAAGTTACCTCTACTGTTTTTATTGCCCCTATGCAGGTTCAAACCGGCTATAGCCATGATTAAAAAGTGCATAGAAAGTCTTATCGATCAGCAGTACCTCGCCAGAGCGGCTGACTTCACCGACTGCTACGAGTACATATCGTAGTCGCTCTATCACTCTAAACATCCTATCAACCTCACTTTCAAATTTGCTACACTTTTATTTCCACTTTTGTATTAAAAAAAGTTCTGCATTGCTCTGGAAATTTAAGTTAAAAAAAGTTATTGGAGTCAAATTCTTTCAAATTCTCTTTGTATATTATAAGAAAAGTTTAGGAAAAATTATAGTTTATTTGTTTAAAGAATCTACAAGTTTTATAGAGTATCAATTGGAAAAGTTCGACTTATATGCTGAAAAGCGTTCTATTAGATATAAGAGATCCTTATTTAAACAATACCACAGTGCGCGCGAAGTACGGTAAATGCCACCCTTCATAACCAGAAAGGAGATATAGCAGCACGTTGTAGTCTAAAAGCAGAATTATTTTTGGGTATTAACTGCATTAGCCTTAGAAGACGCCCTGTAGTTTTAATAATAAAAAAACTTAATTAACAAGATGCCCTTTTTAAGAAATTAAATTTTGAAATAATAAGGAAAGCAAGTTTCTGCTGGTGACATTAATATGGTTTTAAAAATAAACATCAAAAGTAATTAAAATTATTTGGTGCATAAATATTTTTATCAAGATATCAAGAATTAATAAATGTTTTTTTTTGAATTTAGTTTTATTTAAACTTTATCTAGTTTATAAAGTTGCATCTGTCGGCGCCACTGTTAAAGGTGAAGTCAGAACAACTTTTAGACTTCTTTTCTGTGCCTACAAGAGAGGTTAACTTTTATATAGCCTTTTTCTATCGTTCAAGTATTAACAACTACTGAAAACTTTATTTTCGTGGAAAACATACATATTTAAAGAATATAATCACTTTAATTAAAACAGAATTATGAAATTGCAACCAAAATGGTTTGCCGTATCCTCACCATGTTTGGAGGTTGTAGACTGCAGTGTATTAGAATTTATGCCGACGAGGTTAAATACGCGACCATATTAAAGACCGAAAAAGGGGTTCGCTCCGGTAGAATCGAGCTCCACAACCTTGAGTATGCGCGTCAATGCCTTTAACCGCTGAGCTACGGCGACAACTCTCGATCTTGGTGTATTGGCTTTACGTATTTAACGGGTTGCATTGCACATTGCTGAAGTTATAAAGAAGGATGTGGGGGGGTGGGGGGGGGAAACCTACGTACAATAATACTGGCTCCTTACCATAAGTTTTAAAGATATTAAATGATCAAGTACCGCTAGAGAATTAAACTAGGAAAAATCATTTTATGAATTTTGATATTACATTTTTACAAAGGTCAACATATTCTAAAGGTGTGCTAAAAGCAGTAAGCACAGGTTGTATGCCTCCCTACCCGTTAATAAGCAGTAATGACTATGCTCTTATTTAGTTGTGGGAAACCCAGGACATCATAATGTGTCGTTGCTCACAAAGTGATACCCTCCGGCCAGTAACCGTAGCAGTTAGATTCGCTGCACTTACTGTGCTGTCATAGTTTACGGCGGATTAAATGCTTAAGCAACAGTAGTGTGTGTCATATGTTACATTGGGTCGGACACACATCACTTATAAGCGCAGTTTGATATATTAATAGCCCATTGCTTACTGCAGTGTTGCTGTCCTGAGGTTCGTTACAAGGTAAAGAGACCATGTAACTGATACTAACGGCTGGAAACAGTTGCCCTAAAGTTAGACTGGCGAATTTTGGCATTCGTGGGTGTAGTGCTTAGAGCTATGCCTTCTTTGTTTATTGCTGATGATATTAAGCAAAATTTTAAGCCTGTAGCACGTTTTGACCCATAGTTGACAGATCTTTTATATTACTACCCTTTTATTAGAAAATAAAGTCGTTATGTTTTGACCTAACATTGACCTTTTACCATGACATGTTGGTACCCATCGTATGAGAGACTGTGCTTCACTATAAATATTAATGTAAAGTGGTTCACCTGACCTTCAATTTAGTGGTAGGCGTAATCTTGCTCGGATTTTCCTCTTATTTTACAAGCACTGCTCTATAAATTGTCCCATATACTTAAAATTAAGTGTATGTGGGAGAGCGCATGAAAAATTGTGTGGAAAACTTAACTAGGTGTTCTATTAATTGTAGCTTTTAAGTATTTAACTTATAAGCCACGCAATTAACCATAATGTTCGTAATTTTATATACTTAAGTTACCGTTTAGGAAACGGCGTTAAACATAACAATTAATAGCATGCTCGTACCACTTGTGTAGCCATACCACATATAAAGTGCAAGGGGCATGACAGTTTTTTTTAAATTATTGAACAATTCTTCTTACCTCCCTAAATTTTAAATACCCTTTTTTATAGAACGAAAGCTTATTAGCCTTTTCTTATCCTCGTTAATTAAAAAAATTAAGGGCTGATATCGTAAAAGCTTCAAATAGATTTTAACAAAAGAATTGATCACAAATTTATTAAACGATGCTGCATTTAAAATTCTATTTTTACGAGTAAATAACTCCCCTAAAAAATTATTACGCGAGTGTTTTAGCTTGCAACTTTGTTAAATCTATATATTGAGGCAAAAACACACCTTTTTTTAACGAAGCTCCTTAAGATTTTACGATAACGCCAATTATTGCATTTCAAAATTAAAGCCAGCTCACAGATAATTTCCTTTCATCTTAACTTACTCCAAATTTCATTAACTGAGTGGAATGGTTAAAGCAAACTGTTAAGCCGGTTTTCATAAAATGATGTCCTTTTCCTTTAGCTGGGCGCCCACTTTTGGTTGGTGTGAAATCTCACATGCCACTTGGTGCGTACATTAAGAAAAAAAAAAAAATTAAAACCCTAACGGTGTTTCAAACCTTATATTCTTCGTAGCAATACCGGTTGTTTGTATATGGGGAAACCCGACTAACTTATAACTTTTTATAAAAGAGAATTAATACCTAGATTATAACTGATTTATATCAGGTTTACATTAAAATAGATTATATTTGATGTGTTGTATGGTAAAGTGAATATGAACATGTAAAAAATCTTGCTCCTTTGCCTGGAGCATTCAACTCATATTTTAGTATTTTTGGATCTAATAGCCCCTTGCTAATTACCTTTTTAAACACAATATACGAATAAGGTTTATATGTGTGCTTATATGAAATAAAGAAGTTATTGATTAATTATTAAAACATTTGAAAGCTTAATGTCTTCTGTGACTAAAGTAAAAGGATTCAGCTTTTAAAAAAAAAAACTTACTCTGTTCATCAACACAAGTTGAGTGCACAACTCCCACTTACTTTTTAAAAGCAAAATCTTTTGCACTACTTATTGGAAACTGCCCTCAGTGTTTTAAGCAATACAAACACTCAAATAATTTGTTAACTTGTGCTGTAGCTATCTCTATGCATCTTTCCTCCTATAACAAGGGCTATCAAAATTTTATCTAAAGATACTGAGTTTTACATACACCTGTATGCCTTTAAAACCTTCTTCAACAACCTTGCTCTTAAGTTATTAGGTCTCCAAGGCAGCGTATCTCGAAAAACTTCTTATCACTCTTCTCCTCTTTCTAATGAGAGAATATAAAAAGTGAGGTGTAAATAAGTAGAATATCACGAAGTCCGGTGGTCGGAAAGTCCTGTCTATAACGAAGCAGGCCAGTCCTTTGTGGGACATCGAATCTCAATGCCATGAGCTCCTCCCTGGTATTGAAACTTGGCTGATATGCTTTCCCTGGTCAAATATGGGTAATCTGTATAACAGAGTAGCTCTCGCGACTTTACCAAAGTAAGACAGCAAGGTAATGGAAGTGGTGATTTATTGCTTATTTCTTCTGGCTATAGAAACAAAGTTTGGTGGTCAAAGGGGCAAAGATTACAAGCAACTTCGGAAAATCAGCGTTAAATATAAATTATGCTTATAAAAAGGCGAATATTTATAAAATATAAATGCTATATAAGTCCTTAAAATCAATAAATTATAAGCATGGCTCTAAAAATTAATAAATTCTTACTATATGAAATATTAGTTTGTTAAACGTGCGATAATACCGCAAATAAAAATTAAAACAACGGCTTGTGTCAATAGAAACTAACGTATACGTAAGCAACTAGTTAACTTTTATCCAATGGCGTCTTTAAGTTTTTAAAAACTGTGCAGCGTCATTATAAATTTTCTTATATATTATTCCACTATGTAAAATTTAAAATCTACCTCCTCAATCTACTGACGAAGAACACTCGATAAACATATAGTTTACTGACCTTTACAGGTAAACGAGCCATCTGCACCTCTGAAGCGGTATATTTAACAAACCTGACTTTCTCACAAAAAAAAGATTTTATCTCTTTCCTTTACTAAAACCTGAAAAATTAAAAAAGACATCCAGAAATGTTTGCAGTAAACCTGGGTTTGTCCAGGCATATTAATTTTAAAATATATATAACCGACTATGTATACCCGCTATGCCGTAAGTGCCTATTATAAAGTCTTTTACGAATTTAACATAAAATACAATAAAAGCCATGTATAACAAGTGAAAGTAAATTTTATGCAAAATTTTTTAAGTCTTTTGCAGTACACCGTGTAACTCTTCTCTTTTACGAATAGCGCGTCTGTGGGTACCCAGTCGTCTTTTTGCAAATCGAAGAGCACGACGATCTCGGGACAAACGTAGGAGTTCCATTATTCTTTTTTCATAAGGTGCATATCCTAAAAATAACATAATTATATAATTTATATATAATTACAAAAGGTGGTGGTTAAAGAAACCTGCAACCTCCCTTATCACTTCACGAATGACAGAAATTCGTTTAGAAAGGGCGCCTCGTCGTCTTGAAGGCCTTATGCCGGTCTTTAAAAATTGTATTACGAAAAGGGTTCTAAAGAAAAATAATAAATAATACACCTCACGTTTTTGAACTTTATGACCCTTGTTTAAGCCGCGGCACAAAGAGTGTTGGTAAACGGCTTTCGGCATAATGGACTGCACCGATAAAAAGGAAGCGAAAAGAGAGAATGAATCTTGAGCGATTTTCCAAGTGGCTCTTTTATAACACATTTTTATTCAGTTAAAAAGCGATTGGTGCACGGATACAGTTTAGGTGAATCAGGCTAGAGTTTTGCGGAAGGGCCCCCAATTTTTTGTGTTACCCCATTACTAATTATTTGCCTTCAAAGTAAAACTGTTACATCTAGCGATTTCCTTTCATTCTATTTATTTCTCTTAAGCATGTGACTTCTAGAACAAATTTTTGTTGGCTAGCATTTAAGTATCGGTGCTCTGCCAGCCTTAGTTTATTGTTGCGTTTAAGGGTAAAACTGTAGGGCTTTAATAAAACATCTATGTTTATGTGTTCATAAATGTATATGTCCTCACTCTTAGAGTGAATTAATTGATTTTAAATTTTCTACTAGAAGATTTAATAATGAGGGTAATGCTGCAAAGTAAGCTGTTTTGTTAATATTTTTAACGTTAAAAAACCGAGACAAAAAACTTAGCACAAAGCACGCCCGATTTCCAAAAATTGGTATGTAATTAATCATTTATCTCGTGGAGCCTGTCTCGACCGTAATTTACAAAAGTTCAGCAGAAAGCTTTAACATTCACTGCATCGGGAACTATAACCATAACATTTACCGTACTTATTTAGCATATTGGGAGGAAAAACCTTATATTACAATGAAGACGCCCAAAAAGGTTATATCATCGCGTGCAGTCTCCAAGTAAAAATAAAGGGATAGAAGTGTTCAAATAAGTAAATCCATCAAACCAGGATTAAGAGTTCTCGTCCGTAGCTCAGTGCTTAAGAGCTATATCAAGCAAGATTCGGTGCAGCTCATACTTTCTGATTTTTCTAACTAGGTTGCTAACTCAGCGGTTAATATTTCATTAATCGTGATCTCACTTGAGTTTTCAACCTTCCCCTCATAAATACTGATATCATCACGCCAGAGAAAATATAAAAAAAATTGCAAAATCAAAGTAACTTTAAACACCCTACACTCGATTTTAACAGGCACCTGCACGTTTGAGGAGAATGCCTCGGATCAAGATTAGGCTCACCTCTCTAGTTAGTTTCTTAGCGGTTTTTTTTTTCACCAGTATTGTCCAGATGACGGGGTTGAAGCCTGATGTTCCCTCGTTGCTCCTTTAAGGAAGAAGCCACTGGTAGACTGTCGTTAACAGGTTAAATACGTAAAATCCTCATACTTTACGAGAGTTGTCGTCTTAGCTCAGCGGTTTAGCAGCATAAAAGCCCATACTCAGGGTTGCGGTTTCAATCACCAATGTGACTCTTTCAGTCTTTTTTAATAGTTACGCATCTAACCTTGTCCTCAGATTTTTAATAGTCGTGCTCAAATTCCACTAAGCAGTTTAAGACCTTTCAAAAAGTCGACCGTAGTATACCAATGCCAGAATAATAATAAAAAATATATAGATATTCTTTGTCTCGACAAGACTTATTCCATCGTTTTATTGCCATGGGTGTTAAAACTAAAATATTTATATTAAAATTGATTTGTAGTTCGGACAAAGGCTTATAGAGTTTATAATAAAAAATTTATATAAGTATACAGTATTAATCTACATTTACAAAGCAAAAAGCTTCGTGTCGAACATTATCAATATAATTTTTCAAAACTTTACTGCCTATATACAGTGTAGAAATAAACCGTTAAGTACTCCCTTTAAGCATTAAACTGCCACATTCGGAATAGGCCAAATAAAACAACATAGACAAATTAAAGCATGGCCTACTTCATAATTATCATTGATTTGTGCAATGCTGTGTAAAATGAAGCAAACAGCTTAGTTTTTCTAATGTTTAAAAATATTCTGCGTATAGTTCGTAATCAGTTTTTACGAGCCTTTTCAACATTTTGTAATTATGTGCGCTTATATTAGATTTTAGCCATGTTAGGATTCGATACCGTAACAAGTGGCCCTTTAAGTTGTTCATACCTTAGCATGGTGAGAAATCTAACACGAAAGCCTGAAATTTATTTTTTTGTATATCTAACTTCATTAATATGCACGTGGACGCAAAAGTGTTAGGGTATCAATTTATTCTCTTCCTTCATCTCTGCTATACTGAACAATTGACCTTTTTGCTTAATGAATGGTCGTGTTAAATGTTCAAGTAAGTTCAGAAACAAAAACAAACCACGTAGTAAACGAATAAGAGGTAAGCATATATTTTTGTCTGATTGCACCATTACTTTGTTTTAGACTCTCATTGCTCTCGTCTCATGACAGATTTACAGCGCTTACTTAAGAAAAACTCTTTACCCGATGAAGTTAGAGTGGCTAGTAAATCCACCCTTGAAAGTTTACTTGAAAAAAAAGAGATTACTTCTGCGAAAGTAAGCCAAAAAGACCTTTCTAAGAAGTATAAGATGGTTAAATTTTTTGGTTTGCCTTATCACATATTAAGAAACTCAAGAACTATTTCAAATATGTTTTTTTTGTAATTTATAGAAAAACGAAAAGCTTCTCGAGCTGTTGCACAGGCTGAAAAAAAAGTTAAAGGTGGGGACATTAGTGGAGGCACTCTAAACAAATTACGGGAAGCTCAAGAATTTTTAAATTACATAGAGGTGTTTATAAGTATTTTTTTAAAAAATTTGAAGTGTTTAAAATCCGTTTATCACTTTGTTTTCCAGTATTTTCCTAGAACCCAAGCATATATATCTATTTATAAGCAACCTGCTAGTGAAGAGGCCTTAAAACTTCGGAATAAGGTATTTTAATGTAAATAGTATAAAATAAAGTAGTAAACTTTTATTTTTTCTAATAGATACTTAAAAGTGTTAACAATATGGTTGCTAATAAAAAGCTTCCACAAGCACTTGGGTGGTCTAAATTCGGCGCCTCTACGGCAAGATCATCAGAGAGTTCAGCGCAAGTGTTAGAAAAAAACGAGGAAAGGCTTACAGACGATTTTTTTTTATGATTTACAATCCTTTATGGTTTTCCTCAAGTTACTCTGTTTGTTAACCTATTTAGTTCGGGTTAGAAGAATCACTGCTACAGCCACTGGTTATAACTGCTATAAAGTCATATATAGTAGAACTTATTTTACTTTGTTTATTTATTAAAATAAGCGAATTACTATACAACTAGTACCCACAGTATTTGGACTATATTATAATTTTGGCAGAGAAAAGAGTTTCTGTTTAGCGCGTTGAGTTACCCTTAAGTTGTAATTTTTATGGTTTTTTTATTTTAAAAATAGAGTATATTCTTATTTTAAGCAGTTTTACCGTTGAATTTATTTTAAGGAAAGGTTATTGAAAGTATGATTTTTAAGTAGTTACAGAGAAAATTTTTTAAACAGAATTATCTTTGCGAAGCTCACTAAGAGTTGGACCCACATTTTTTTTATTATTTAGAAAAATAGAAACGAATTATACGAGGATGTGATTATATTTTTTTACCACACCTTTTAGTCAAAAAAATGACAAGGTTAGGCCTAATGCATATAAAAAGTCATATATGCTTGTTGCGCAGGTCAGCAGCCGAAATAATTTATAACCGAGCGCATGTAGTTTAGATTGAAAAAGTATTTTCACATATCGACTTTACTTATATTTAAAGTGATTATTAAAGTTAGCACGTAACGTTAAGTTATTTTTAAAACGGTAAGATACCACTTAAACTCAGGAATATAGAGACCACTTGCACATTACTTTTTTTTGGCGCCCATTGCTCTATAAATTCTTTAAATATTTAAATTTTATATTTAACTTTTAAGGTCCTGGAAACAAAATTTTTTTAAAAACACTTTAATTATTTTAAAAGTGAAACTTTTTACTTAAATAAGCCTAGAGATATGTTTGACTAGCAGTTTTACCCTTAAACCAATCATATACTGGTAAAATTAGGGCAAACATCCAAATTTTTTTTTAATTTTTTTAAAAAAAAATAAAGATTGTAGCTCGTCTTATCGTGTATGTACCTATTAAATAAATATGACAATGCACTAAAACCCCTGGTTTGCCAAATTTGCACGTTTTTAACTAATAGTAGAATTTTGCAAGCTATTTTTTATTAGGTTGAGAAAAAAGGCAGTTAATACCGCTGGTACACTGGACTTATGGATAATATTTCGTAAATACATGATGTAAATGATTGTTAACGAGTTGTTAGATAAGGTTTAAACTTGATTTCTGTTTTTAAATTTTTTTTATGGAAACTACATATTACGCTCCGTGGCTTGTTAATTTTTTTAACACAGCGCATCCGATTAGACTACGTTTTTTAAACATCTAAGCACTCAACGCGAATTAGTACTTGAAGGAGAATTCCGATTCCACCTTATCGAAGATGCACCTGATATATTTATAAGCGCGTGACTTTGTGTTTCGCCCTAGTCGTCGGATGATTCACTTAACCGCTGTAACTTTAAACTCCAATGACAAACTGGTACTATATCGTCTATATGCGCAGGAAAAAACTAATTGCTCTTCAATAGTCGTTGAGATGAGAACTGCAAGATTTGTTTGTAACGGCCTACAAAGACAGCCATTCTTTTGGCGTACTGTTAAGCGAGTAATGAACTTAAGAAAAAAAAGTTCCTATTTAAATTAATTGTTTTAATTCCATGTACAAATATTTGTTACTAAAATTACCCTCTTTGTATATAAAAAGATTGCACTTGTTATTTGTTATTTAATTCACCTTGGTATGGTCCTTTCTGAGGTTTTGGGGTTCTACATGAGCCCTAGTCAGGAAGGCTGCTAGCAGTAATGCGAGTCGTTGTTTACAGGAGGCTTTAATCTTGTATTCGGGACCATCTCTTCCGCTGGTGGTTTATAACTGTTTTTTATCACCACATCCAAAGGGCTAAAGTCAAAATATGATTCGTTTCCGCTATCCCTCAGTCTATGGGGACAGTCATGAAACTTCGTTAGGGATTTAAAGTTTGTTGGCGCGATCGAGCACCAAAATAAGTTATTTATTAAAATTGTATGAAAGCCTTGCAGTAGCTTTTTGGTACGAGAATATTATCAGTGTTAACGAAAATAAGGACAAAAATAATTAACATTTTAGCCTTGCTTTGTTAACGGTTGTGCTTTCAGCGCAATGACTTTATTGCCTAGATTACATTAAGATCCTTTTATTAATATTTTTTGAGAGAATTAGCTTGATGAGTGGCGTATTAATCCTTTCTCTTAACGCCTAAGTTTTTATTAAAAGTTACCTAATTTTACACAATATTTACCTACATTACGTCTCAGCCGGAAGGTATCCTCAAAAACTCTGCTAAATATGGTTTTTTAAAAGTTGTTCTGATTAGCACTGATTAGTACAGACGAAATTCAGTCTCTTCCGTCAGATTTGTTATTGGCCATAAAAGATCGCTCAAGGCTTCCATCCTAAGCTATTATCGGTTTGTTAAAAATTGTTCCCTCCGTCTAGCACTATTATCTCCCCTATCAAAACTTTAACCTCCGGTTCCTAAATTATTATTTGACGCAAAATACTTTGTTTATTATAATAGTACTCTTTAGCAAATTTATTTTAAAAAAAATTAGTTCAACAAGATTCTTAAACTATAGTCACCCCAAGATTAGCGTTGTACTTTGACTCCTATAAACTATTCAGATACTAGTTCAACCAATTGACTTAGAGGAAATAAATGAAAATGGGCTGGTATTACTAAATTTAGTAGTTTAGATATTTTTGCTCATAGAATGATGTTGGCTATATAAAGATTTGCAATATTGCAAACAATGCTTGAAACTTAAATATATTGTCATACGCAGCCAAATTTTCTAATATAGCATGTTGCTCTATGCCCTAGGAGTTGTTATTTTAGCTTATGGTCTGGGTTTTTACAAACTTTCCTTTGCCTATGTTATCATAGTTTTGACAGGTACTTTTTACAATCTTGAAAATTCAAAGATTTTTTATAGGTTAAATTTTAAAAAAAAAATTATACTTCGTGGCTTGTCGAAGTTACTGCAAACTTAGTCTTGACTCGATTTAGGAAACTACGTTCCCGAATAAATCTTGAAGTTAGACAAAAAAAAAGCAATTTGAGTAAGTTTAGAATAAATTTTTTTTTTAAGCAGTAAGAAATTATTAACTTAGTAATTTTGTTTGATTTTAACCTATTTATATATCATAAGTTGAAGAACTTGAGACAACCCATTGGCTCAACGAAGTTGTGAACCGATTGTGGAAGACTTATGGTGACCTAGGCGCCGAGATGGTGGCCACTACGGCTGAACCCTTTTTGGTGTAGTAATTAATAATTGTTAACGACATAGTAACAGATAAGGCTTATGATGCTTTTTTTTAATTTATTTAAGGAAATGTTTAAACCTCCTGGTGTAAAAAGTATTAAAATTACCAAGCTGGAACCCGGAACTACGGGGCCTCGAGTTGTGGACGTTAAAACTTTAAAGAAAACTTTTCCTAACCAAGTTATAATGGAATTAAGGTATAATATAGGTTAGAGCCTTTTTCTCTACTTACTATATAAAAAGAATAATTTTGGACGCTGCTGATTTCCGTTCTGAGTTAACTACTGTCATGGGCTTCATGCCTGCCCCTTTGGAAGTAAGCGAAGTTTACTTCGAAGGCACAGTTCGTGCGGACGTCCTCTTAACTGTTAGCCTGTATCGTTAACAGCTTCCCTTTTTTTTGAAGAAAGCTTATGTAACAGGAAGAATTCCCATACGCTAGTGTGCTTAAAATCTCCATGTTAGAAAAACCAAAAGTCGATTTTTCTGTAAAACCACTTATTAGCATGGACATCATGGTAGTAGCTTTCCTGCGTATATTAGGCAAAAGCATGGTTCTTAAATTTTATTTTCTGTATAGAATCTTCCCGGTTTTAGTGCTTGGCTTCATAATATTATCACTGATACGCTGGTAACAACGTTTGTTGACGACGTCGTGGAAGTTGATTTAGGTTCCATCTTAAATCCGAAGGACACTTACGTGCTAGAAAGGGTAGGCTATTGTTAAAAACTTGTAACTGAGAAAATAAGCGACAAGCAAAGAGAGAACATATGCTGGCGTCGATTCTAGGTTTAGTGAGGCTGTTTATACTACTGTCATTTATGGTTTGCTCTTAATCCGCTAGACTGCCATCGGAGTTCTCGTTCTTAACGTATATCGGGCTTCGAACGTACGGAAAATGGATATTTTGCTTGGTTCTAGGTAGCACTCGCGCAGTCTACAGTCAGGACAAGTGTACTTATATAGATAACCAGCACTCCATTTGTACGGCTCGCCATTGGTTCGGATCATGTTGAAACGAAAAGTCACTCGAGGACGCGTAAACATTCGTATAATCTTTATCAACTTACTTTAGCAAAACTGTCCGCTTAGTGAACCCTCAGTTTGACGAAACGCTGAGAATTATGGTCAGAGATATCGAAGGAACCTGCGAGATAGCCCTTATGGACCGCAGTGCCTTTGTGCTTCTCCGCTTTATATGTACTTTGGCGGACTTCAGTATCTCTCCCCTAGCAAGGGGACCGCTGTATCTACAAGGAGGTTATAAGCGTGCCTAAGCTCTGCAAACTGACGGAGAAGCCCGTCCCCTTCAGAATCCAGATGGAAAAGGGAGCACTCGAGTTGTCCTCTCTGTATGTTGAGGTTCTTGTTATACTGCCTTATAAGTAATATCTTGTTTGCGTTATTGTAACCCTGTAGATCCCACCTTTTGACTTTGATAAGGAAAATGAATTGGATGAGGCAGCCTTGAGTACTTTGCTTAATACTAACGTTCCTTAAGTGGCAGGCTTAATTGCTAATGAAGCAGATGACAAAAATGATAAAAAGTTCAAGTTGGAGAAGACATCTGGTCACAAGGACCCTAAAGTTCACATATATGAGCAGCGACAAGGTACCGCCGAGTGGTGTATGCGGTGGCGCCCCTTTTTATAACCTGCCATGCAGGCATTCTTCGTTTAAAAGTCCTTCGAGCTAAAACACTTAAAGGTTTTAATGCCTTTTCTTTTACTAGCACGAAGCTGTACACCATAGACCAACTTCCCCCCCCCCCCCCCCTTATTTATAACAGGAAGCGATCCATCTTCGCTTTTACTTCCATATGTACTCTTTTATGTCAACGACAAGAAGGTTCACCTCTATATCGACCGCCGTTTGTCACGGCTTCTTATACTACAAGCACCTTTTTTTGCAGCAATTTCAGACGGAGCCACGATGTGGGGTTAATCCGGAGTGGAATCAAGTATCTCCTCTTTACAACATATATAATAATAAGACTAATACTATTAAATGTAGCTAACGTGTCTAAATATTAGTTATCAATAATATAGTTGTAAAGTGACTTTTTATTTCAGATATATAACCAACGCTAAGACTTGCTTACTTTTTCCAGTGGTGCGAGGCTTTGATAACCGATGTCCAGTCGGTGAAACTCAAGTTTAAAATTAAGTCGTACCACTTCTTGAAAGTTCATGAAAATCTTGGAGAAATACTGATCAACATCGGTACCTTATTGAACACCGAAGATTTTGCCGTCCGTCAGAAATGGTCGATGCTCCTCTGAATGCCTTTTATATACTATTTATTGGTCACACGAGTTTGCAGGTTCGACACTTGGAACGGGACAGGCTCCCTATTGATATCGCTTTATTATACTCCCATGTATTTGGGCGAGGAGCTCATCAGCCACAAAGGTTCCTCTTCCTCATTCTTTTTAACGGTTGCACTAAAGTGCCACACTGGCAGCTCAAAAGAAAATAGACAAAAAGGAAGCTAAAAAACTGAAAACTCCGCTAGTGGACAAGGTTTTCTAGGGTGAATAGTTATCACCAAGTACACCCTCCCATCTATATTTCAAAAGAACTCAAAGGAACCCCTCGGGACTCTCTGCATCGTGATCCACTCGGCTAAGGAACTGGAAGCTTCCGACTCGGACGTCATCTCCGACCCTTTTGTGGTACCTTATTCTAGCAAAAGACCGCTTTGCACATGACTTTTCGTTATGCCTTAGAGCGCCAGCATTGACAAGCACTACATCTTCAAGACAACAAAAAAGAAGAAAACAACTTTTCCGCAGTGGGAGGAAACTTTTGTCTTCCCCTCACACGTATGATTCACCCTTTTTACATCCCACTCATGTTCATGCTGGCTCCCAACCTCAAGGATCCCACCGGGCACTCCCTGCGTTTGGAGCTCCATGACTACTCCCGCATATCGTTTGTAAAGTCCGGAATGCTCGGTACGTGGGTTTCGTGTGACTCTAAGCTTCCCTCTTTTATGGGATTCGGCGCGCAGGCAACTGCGAGTTGGACTTGGCGCTGAAGGACCTGCCTTATACTGGTTGGAAGCCGCTAACAGGTTGTCAACTGTTCGCACCGCCGCTTCCTCACAAGATTTTTATTGCTGCAGGCGTTAACAAGGGCGAACTGAACTTCTCTGTTAAGTACTCTCCTCCATCTTGACGGAAGTTTCATTAAACGTTTTTTTTTTACGTTCTTAATATCGACACGCAAAAAGCCCTCTAGTGGACACTAAACTTTATTTTTGATAAACCAGAAAGTTCCAACCCCTCCTCCACACCAGATACCTTTCCCAGCGAGGAGATTCAAGGCCGTATGTCATAGGCGCAAACATCGCAAAGATCACCAGAGCGGAAAAAAGAGAGAGCGCCACAAAACCTCGCGCTAGCGAGGGCTTCAGTTTAGCATAGAAAAGCCAGTATAAATACTCGGCGGTTATTCCACTATAAAGACAGCATATGCGTTAAGCGTTATAGAGGAGGGCAAGAGATAAACCTTATAACATATGCGAAAGCCATCGCTGGCAAGTAGTGGTGCAAGAACAGAGTGCGGTTCATGAAAAAGAAGGGCAGGTAGTGGAGAGCGTAGGCAAGTCCAGCGTAAACCATTGCGCAGTGCAGTACCCGATACTTGTCTAAGCGGGAAAAGAGGAAAGCAGTTATCGCTCCCAAGCCACACTCCAGTTTGCTAGCTCACTTGGGCTTATGTCCACGTGGTTACGGACGAGCCGAAGAGTGTACCTATGCACAGGAGTGCAGCAGCGTCATTAATGGCATTTGTTACAACACAAGTGATTCACCAAGTCCAGAGCGCCAGGAACGCAACGAGCAATCCATGGGTGAGCCACCAGCATGCAACATTCCCGAGCATGTATATCTATTATGACGCATTGCTATAATCTCCTCTTTATTTTCCAGCTGTCTGTTTACTTGCTTTCGATGGTCTGGCCTTGGATCCTGGAAAAATGAGATGCCCTTAGGGAGGAAGGGCCATCGTTGGGGCCTTGTCGAGTAGTGGTGCTATAAACGTTAAATAAGTTCGGCACTGAGAGTTCACGCAATGTAAAGAGCATGTGAAGCAGAAGCATACCTCTCCTACTAATTTCGTATTGGCCATAAACATAGCTTGAAGGTTCTCAATTATTTTTGAAAACGTAGACAACTTGGGAAGTGAGGCGCGTTTCACAGCCCTGACTAGTAGTAATGATTATTCCCTATAGGCCGAAAAATTAAGTCTATACGTTTATGGTGTTCGTGGTGCTCGGCTTGCCACAATTCCATAAGACCTTCGGTGTCTCTAGCCGATACAACCTTTATCACACAGCAAGGTTGCGAGGATGTGGGGGCAGTAGAAGGTGCTAGCAGACAAAGGACCTCATATTGACGGAGTGCAAAATCAGGTAAAACGTGGCCAGTAAGCTGCACGGTAGTCGGAATGTCGCCGACGTTAACAAGCTTAACTAAAGTTCTAAGTGAATCACAACTTAAAGAGATGGCATCCTCGTGAGCATATGAGAGGCTACTCAAACGGCTTCCAGTACTCACGAAACCCGTAAAAGAAGACTTGAAAGCGCGTCCCCTCTTTCCATCTATCATGGGCGTGGCAGACAGACATCTGACCATGAAAAGATGAGCAGTCTTAAAGCAAAAAAGGACCAGTATAAGCACTTCTTGCTTTGAGGGCGTTACAACACTGGAAACGTCGTGGGTGTGAAGCACGCCTCGGGTTATCACGTGGAACAGCTGTTATGGATGCATCAGCACGTTCTAAATCGACTTTGACAATGGCACATAGTCTGCGTCAAACCGACCTGAATTATGTCGCCGTCCCTGACGAGGGTAACGTCGTCATCTTGTTCACCTGGGTGTACGACGTGTTTACAGGATACGATGAAAGTGTAGAGAGCCCAAGGAAAATGGGATACCGTTCCCTCGTACGATGACAGGCCCCTCATTAAGCAAATCCGCATCGCCCTTAGCCACATACCACAAGTTGTTATCATCTACCTGCTTGTAACACGTGACCTTTATTAAGTAAGAACATTCATTTTTTGAAGACAATAAATATCCAAAAGGCAAAAGACCTGTTGCTGCCCGCTTGTGATTTGGTGAAATGAGCCCCTACTAACATGTACGGGCCAGCTAAAGCGAATACGTTAGTAGCGAACGCCGACTGATGTACGGAGAATGTACTAAAACGGCTTTAACAACAGTTTCTTGGTGCCAAAGCAACAAACAAAAACCAAATTATGAGTAACAGCGCAGCATACCGGTTCGGATGCGAGTGCAAATAGCACTGACTCTCTTCCATCCTCAGCGAGATTATTGAGCCATAAGCAATCTCTAAATACGAAAACATACTGTGTACAACCAAAAAAGAAAGTGCATAACAATCATAAGTAACTCTCTGGCTGAAACCAAGTTGAAATATTGTGTTGGTTTCCAAGTAGATCCGACTGGAAACTACGAGACATCATCCTAAAGAATAAACAAAAGGTAAAAACTAGAGCTGTCGAGCTAACAAGGCTGGAGATTTCTCACGCATCATCTCCTGAGAGCGGTAATAACCGAAGATGAACGCTGAGAATCTAACAGGGAGAAGAATTGGATCGCGAATATCTTCTTTATAAATAATATTCACAAAACCAGATAGATGAAAACGGAGGGGAGCACAATCAAGGCCAGCGTCCTGATCAAAAAGTGCCGAAGTATCACTCTCTGTGGTTCAACACAGTCACAAGGAATTCGAAGGAAGAGGAATCTTCTCGGCCTTACAAGGGGAATGGTGCTATCGCAGAAGAGTGCCCAGAGCTCCCCAACGGTGTGAACCCCGACGAAGGCCATCGCAAAGAAGCCCACCATCTTCACCCTACAAAGTAGTGACTACTCGGTACTTCACTACTGGAGCACACACACAAACCCGACACTGAGCGCTAGGAAGGAGCCACAGGCGAACAAGTAGGCCCACCACTTTCTAGAAAACGGACTAAATGTGTTAAGGTAGTGTAAATGAGAGCCGAGGAGCTGGAAACAATGGTAACAAGATTCTACGGCTGACATAACTACGGTAAAAAGCGAAACAGGAAGCGGATAACTGGTGGCCTCGCTCAATAGTTTTTTATATAGCATACTGATTTCTAATAAACTCGAGTAAATCTACCAAATCTTACTGCCGCTTGACTACTAAAAACTAATTTTGTAATCTTCCAGAGATCTTTTTAAGAATTTGTATTAAGGATAGAATACCTTTTGGATTGCTGGCGAAACCTGATGTAAGTAAATACGGCCATTAATATAAAAAAAATGAGAAAGGAGTCCAGGAGAATAAAGCGGGACACACACACAAAAGAATTATCTATTATGCATTAAATTTTAAACTTTTTCTTGTCACCGTCTTGTTAATAACGTTACCCAGCAAAAGAAGAGTGGCCGCAAAAAAGGATGCAAGAGTGCCTCCGCCCAGTTCGTTAGTGAGCAGGTAAACCAGCGGAACCTGAACAATTTTTTGATAGATAATAAGTAGGCTAAGCATTTCTAGTACTTCTAAACGGATTAGCTAATTTTGTTAACATTATACCGTAAGACTTCCTAAGAGTGCTGGAATAAAGCGCATCTGAGCATAAGGAGCCTAACCAAAAGAAATTTTTCTTAAAAACACCTCCCGGTACAAAGATCGAGGAAAAAAGATGGGGATAGAATAAGAGCTTACGGGTGTAGTAGGCACGTTGAGATAATCATCTCCGATTGAATTGAATTCATAGTTTCCGTCAAAGTTGTTAAGGTATCCGACAAGTGCGAAAATCAACTTTCCCAAAGGTGGATGCAGCTTAAGAATTTAGACAGTTAGGTAGTACTCATAAAACCAATCTTATTCGAGTCGATAGTATTATTGTACACATAGCAACTGCTACAAGCAGACTTTTAAAATTGTAAAAAGGTATAACAGTCTACGAACATCAAAAAAGAAGCGACCAGTTAAGTAAGAAGCTGCATGTTTTCCGAAGTAAACCTCATCAAATCTGTAGTATTAGGTATTCTACGAGTTAATCAAAATGATGTTTGTAAACTTACACAACAAAGTGCGGAGTATTTAAGAAAGGAAGACGGGTAAGAAGGCCCAAAAGGACTAAAAGAAGAAGATATCTATAATTCAGCGAGGACTTGGGAGGTATAAGTAGTTTCTCCTAAGAGCTAAAGTTAAAGTACATTTACATAGTATTAATAGTTTGCTTACCCCTCTAAAAAAGTTGCGTTTTAAGTTTCGGTCTTTAATTTGTTCCTAATTAAAATTTTGGTTGCGATACGATAAATATTTAAAGAGTCAAAATAAAGAAATGAAAAGCCAACTTTGGCTAAAAAGTATACCGAGTGGTCGCTAGGATCCAAGGTGCTTAACGCATCACAACTTTTCCTCCCACGGCGCAAGCAAGTCATCGGGAAAATACACCAAGTTTGGAATTAGATCTATGGTATAATAAATACTCTATTAAACAAAACACTCCGATTGGTGCATTTAATTGTAAATTACGTTTATAGCAAACCGTCATTGTAAATAAGTATATAAACGAATTACATAATAATGTACTCGAGAAAGCAACTACTCCCCCTTAATTTTTGCCTCGCTTAGATCTACTTTAAATTAACTTGTGTACTTTGACTGTTAGATAATATGATGTGATCTAAAAGCTTTAGAACCTGCCACTCTAGTGTTAGCTGCATTATTTTTTTTAAATAGATTAATTTGTTGAATACATGAACTTTACTGCTGGTGTGAAGCTATTAAGAAATTAAAAACACACTTCAACCCATCTTTTTTCGACACAGTTTAACAAGGAATGTGTGTGGTGGGAAGCAAAGTATACGTTTTCAGTCAGTCTGTTGTTCCATTAAATCATGAGCAAATATATATATAGAAACTTAACATATTGTAGTGACGGTAAAGAACTATTTTGGCTTTCAATGTATTTTTTAAACTGAGTAGAGGAAAGGCAATACAAATTTGCCTTCATTAATTATAGCGTATTTAAATAACTGCAGAAAATACGTTAACTGAAAGTAGACTCAAAAACGTTAATGCTAATAAGTGGGATCAGCCTTCTCACTTAAGCTCATAAAGTTTTTGTGTATGCGCGATAATTTTACTCAGGCTTAAAGAACATTAAGTAATTTTAGTTTTTTAGTTGGTCATACAAGGACGAGCTTAAAATTAAAAATTTTATAACTGCACACATTTATAGACTATTTACGTCCTTCAAGAAAAGAACGCCACTTTTAATAAGTAACTAACATAGTTCCATATAATCAATTTTGAAAGGTAGGGACACATTGAAGAGAAATTGGATTAAAATTTGTTTTTTTAAATATCTGTTAGTTATACGGGAGTCTTAAAATGTTTTAAAGCCTTCAGGAGGCATCAAAATTTGTAAATCTTTTATGTTAAATGTTTAGCTACGTTAAAGTGATAAAAGTAATAGGCCCCCCCGCCCTACTAAAAGAAAAATTTGGAGAGCATATTACTAAAAACCGAGTTTTTTCCTTTCTTTGAAAAACAGGGAAAACCGAGCATTTTTAAGCATCTCTGCAAAGATGCAATATGTAAAATCCGTTCTTCTAGCGTAAGTAATAGAAAAGCAAGAAGATAAATGAGTCTAACATTTATCTTTGCCTGACTCTATGCTATTATAACAAACAACGACTAAAGGAATTGTAACTTTTGCTAAAGGTGGAATAAAAATATATATTTTTTAAACCTAGTTTAGTGACAAATTCAAAGGCTTCATGCTTTATATTAAGTAGGCCCTCAATAATTACCTTATTAAACTACATTAAGCTGGATTCTGCCTCACCGAAAGTTTTAAGGTTTGGTATAACAAAAATTTTCCGGGGCTAGCTTACCTGGGGTCCCCAAATATATAACAACGGCGTTTTGCTTGTCCATTACTGGCCTGTAGCATCTTTCATCAGTGTGTGTAATGCTTGACTGCAAGCATCTTTAAATACTTCAACTATGAAGCTCTTCGCGTATTGCCTCACACTGAATGCTAGTGGTTTGAGGAAAGGTAATGCGCCTTTCTCTTATAACGTTATATTAGGCACTTCACACTTTTCTTTTACTTTTTTTTAGTTCAGTAAATTGGTATATATTTTATAACGTTGTTAATTAAATGTAGCCTTTCCCTACCGAGTCTCAGAATTATTTAACCTTAAAAAATTTTTTAAAAGTAAAGATGTGGTGTCTGCTACAAAAAATTCATCCCAAAATTATCCGGCAGTTCCGGTATGCCTTCTTTATTTATGTGCCCAATGGAAACATAAAAGTGAAAAAAAAGTTTTTAAATATATAGACTGTTAAACCTTATTCATACCGCTTATTTTTAGGAGGTTTGCAGGTTATTTAATAGGTTTTTTTTAATGTGTTTACCTATATATTACATTATTTTTTATTTATAAAAGGGTGTTGCCTTTAGAAAGCGTTCAAAGCTCTTAATATTTAGTGTATGGTCCGTTTTTACCCTCCTTGGTGCAGGTGGGCTTTCATAAACACTATAGTAGTGTTATCTATCCTTGTATTTTTTTAATTAAATTAAAGTTGCGTCTTGCGCGTATGATGATGCTCCGGAAAGAGTATTATCGTACTTTCGTAGTGCTGAGACCTTTTGGACGCGCTTATTCTGCCAAAACGAAATTGATTTAGGTTGTTTCTTCCATATAAGTTTTTGATGGTCGGTATAACGCCTTATGCACGTAGGCTACATCCTTGAGGCGGCCGTTAGAATTATTACGTTTTCGGGTATTTGGAATTAGGGCGCTCTTTGTTAAAATTACGTTAAAAATTAACAAAAACAGATGACGTCAAAGAACATGTCGTTCACTATCCAGGCGTTATAGAAAGAATGCTTGCGATAATAGATAACGAGAGCTTAGTAAGTCGTACATACTGCCTCTTTTAAAATAGTTAATATATAGTATTAGGCCTTAGAGGTTAGAGAAAAGGCCTGTGTTTGCATCAACGAATGCTCTCGATGCGATAAACTTACAGTACACTCTTTTTAACGTGCTCTGCTACCCCGTGTGCTCTTTCCGCTATTACCTTAGAGGATCCTCGGTGAGCGCGGAGTCCACTTGCGCCTACTGGAAATTGCCTTCCACACGGACTCTCTTCTACTCCGGCAGCTGCTTAGCCAGAGCCTCTGTCACTTTGCAGAGATTGGTGCGTCGCACTTACTTTTCGCAGTCTACTTTTTTGAGTCCTTTGCGGGTATTTTCTTTAGAGCACTTGCGGAAGGACTTGGCTTTAAACGGAGCTATCACGTTTTTGGAAGCTTGTTACAGCAGTTATTCGATAGGTAGACTTGTAACCGCTCATGCTTGCTTGAATATTCACTCAAGCTCGGAATTTTGCTAGGAAGATGGTCACACAGAGAGGCGCTAATGAAGATTTGTTATACCTTCTCTCAGTATACTTTGAGAGTTTAGTACTCTTTTACTTGTGCTACCGCAAATATCGAATTAGGGCTCATAAGGTTGACTTGTCGTCTCTTCAGAGTCCGCGTGAAAAAGATCTTGTTAATAAGTCTTTTGTCTATATGCTATTGAATTTCTTAGATTTCACGTTCCCATATCAGATACGCAACTGAAATGGAGTTGGATCTTACGCGGCCCTACTACGATCTAAGAAAGAAGATCAGAAAATCGGGTACTCTTTTTTTTTTTCCTGTAGTAATATTCTGGTGAAAACGTACTACTTGGAAGGTATAATGCTCTACTTTCACACTGGTGGTGGGGGACTGGTTTGGGGGGCATTCGAGGGGTGGGCACTCGGTTTCTCCTTTTACCTTTTATTTTGTATTTATCCATATGTTTTACTAAGACTATTTTGTGGATCTTTTCGTAGGCAATTCAGTCCCACACGTCCTCAAGTATGCCGTTCGAAACGCCGTAGTTTCGAGCTTGCTCCCCATTTACTTTGTTGGCGCGACTGTCTATATTTACAGTTACCTGCGGAAAAGGGTTCGCTTATTGCCTACTGATTATAATATAATGCTGTCTATGCACAATTTTCAAAGTGCGAAACGGCGGTAGACTTGTTTAAGCTAAACTTTGGCACAGGATTGTGCTTGTTTCCTTGGGTAGATTTTTCTTTCATTACTGACTCACGTGCTTAACTCGTGCTTTTTCGCTCAGTTGTACTTACTGCCCAAAGTCGAACGGTATGCGCCGTACTGGATTGGTGGGCATATCCTTGGCTTCCTCTCGTTCTTTACATTTTTGGTTTTGAGCGGGTGCGTCGTAAAGCTTATTTTTTAGGCGCATGCGCAGCGTTATTACATCTTTTTTGATAGATCGGATATACTAACAAACTCGTATACGCTAAAACTTCGAGACTTGAGGATGCCTAAGAGCTTAAGCTTGGAAAAGGGCTAATAGAAAAAGAAATTTGGAGATTAATTTATAATAAAATAAAAATTAACAAAATTTTAAAGGGAAGTGCTCTAAGTTAAGGCCGTCGTTGGCGGGTTCCACCTTAATTATTTGGTGGAGAGGAATATTCACCGAAGGAATTGTGACCGGTTCCATGTTCTAATAAGTTATGAAAGAGGAAGTGTGAGGCTGCATGCTCTGAAAAAACACGTGAGGATACCATAAAGTATGCGAGTAGGCACTGCAAAACACTTTTGTGGGCAATCACTAGTACTGTTAAATATTTACGAACAAAAGTACTAATACCCATTAAGCCTACAAGTTACCTGGCGAACGTTGTCGCTCCAACTCAATAATTACTGGCTCTAGACGGGCAATAAGGTCCTTAGCAGTTGATCATTAGGTATACTTAAGCCCTACGAAGGCGTTATATACTAAAAGTTTGTACGCTATACGACTCTCCTCCGATCCCGGGAAAGCGATAGTGGAGGGGATCCATCTGCATCTGCTTGAAATCACGTGGCCTGCAGGCCTTGAACTCTTCGGCGGACATACCAGCGCACTCGCCCATATCAATTTCCTCCTGGTAGAGCCAGCTGCGTTATGGAGCCTCGAACGTATGACGCATAACGGCGTATTACCAGCGCTTTCCAGCTGACAAGCTCCACGTGCGGTATCTTCTGCGCAATCTCAACGGCGTCGGCCTCCGGGCTGCACCAGACGCTCAAGTGCTTTCAAAGTAAACAAAGCATATGGTCAAGCAGCTTAGCTTACAAAAAGGCTAAAGAGTGCCGTAACGTTTTACCTCCGCGGGGTCTAGGGCTGCTCTAGGAAGTTGCGAAGAGCTCATAAACTCGGCCATGGAACCTGTATTTTTTTCATTAGGGGCGTGAATTATTATTAAATCATTAGGTGTGATTATAAAGAACACCTTTGCTACTTAGCGAAGTTTTATTTTCTACGTCAGGGCTGGTTTTGCTATAAGTATTCTCTTGAAGGCTTGTTAGTTGTTTTTAATAATATTATAAAAGGGCCTTCTTATGCTAATTTAAGGCATACAACCTAAAGTACAAAGGGCGCGGGACGATGTGTAGGTTCATTAAATAATATACTATCCTCGTAGGCAAGATTCCTTGGATGCGATTGGTAACTGTTCGCTCGCCCACGTTGAACAGTTTAAAAAAGGAAAGCTGCTTTTCTGTTATTGTTTCGTAGCTCTTTGCTGGATTGTCAACGAATGATGTTCCTTATACAGTATTTAATGTTCGCCACCTTCTCATAATGCTTCAGACGCTCCCTAAAATCTTCCTCGGCAAACTTCGGGTCAACCTCGGTGTAATCCGCCGAATTGTGTGCCTTAAGCTGGATATTGCGGTCAATAATACTCGCCATGTCGCAAATGACCTCCACAAACATCAGTTTAACGTGACCTTCCTGGTAGTACAGAGTGAACCAAGATGATTAAATTAATACAAACAACAAGAACTTTATATCCTTTCAAGTAATCTACAATAAAACGACGACGAGGCCGCGTGTGGTTTGTGGCGTCTAGAATGCCTAAACCTCGAGTAAAGGTATTGGGGACAAATAAGATGTCGAACGCAGTACCCACGTGGCCTCCAGAACTCAAAAAGGAGAGCAAGTCGTCTAGAGCGTGGCGGCAAAGCTCCAAGCGAATTTTTACTCCCTCCGGATTGTCGGAGCGAAAGAAGTCATGCTGGTGGTAAGATCCCAGCCTGCAGTGCAAAAGTGCGTAACACAAACAGCTTTATAACCAAACTAGCGGAGCATTTTAATGGCCGTTTAATGTTGCTAGATTTACAATTGGTTTGCCAAAGCTTTTGTAAAACATTAGATCGTACATAAATTAGTGGTTGTTATATCAAGAATTGAAAGTATTAAAAGGGGGACGCGCGGGAAGGGAATGCGCTAGATTCAATGCCTGTTGCAGTGAGCACCAAGAAAAAAAAAACAAACACGTAGCCCAGTGACGTAAGGGAATAGACAAGAGTATCAGCTTTCATTAGCCTAACTCAAGCGCAAGCCTTATATTATAAAAAAAAATGCTATCCGCAATAAAAGGGGAGCACGGGGGGTACCGCGCAAATTAACAGTATTCCATATAAGAATCAATCCCCTCCAGGTTGTTTTAAGGTAGTCAATGCTGGCTGTCAATGCGAGCCAGTAAAGTAAAAGGGCGAAGGGCGTATACCGACCAATACTTTTACGCTCATGCTAATAGTTTTATAATTCTATGCGTTTCCTGAGTAGCAGGATAAATTTACCCGCTGCTTAATGCGCTCAAAGGCTGCATGCCAGCGCTGTATCGTTACAGAGATGACCCTTGAACATCCAATCAGATAAACGCCGTCACCAGTCAATACTCTTTATTAAAGCCCAAAAGAGTTAATTTTTTAATTTTAATAAATTTTTAAAGTATAGCCTGCGCATTTACGAGTTGTATATATCAAAACTAGTAAGTTTACATTTTTTGGTATATATCCTTTTTACAAGTAAGGTAAACTTTTTTCAATATTATTCGACTTTCGGGATTAAAGTCTATTAGTATATTTGCCATGTACTTCGCACTTTACTATGTAACTGACTATTACTTGGACGCTCTACTCATGAATACCTTTTCCTTCTGTAAGCCCCGACGTTGAAGACATTCGTCTCGTAGCCCAACCATTTCAAATAGCGAGCCACTTTAGCAGATATAAAGCCTTTATTTATACATAGAAAGAAGTGTTTAATGAAATATTAATAGTAGAATGGATGGCTACTACTGTGAACTTACTAACTTGTGAGTCATATTAAACAATCAACGAGCCATTCTGAGAGGGTTAAACTAGCCCTTTAACAAATTTCTTTCGTAATATATAAAATAAACCAAATCTCACTTTTGCCTCGCGCTGGCAAGCCAACCATAATTACTGCCATCCGCCTGCATATATAAGTGACGACTTATTAATACTAGTAAAAAATAAGTAAAAAAGGCACGACTCAAATTTTTTGCGTCATACTTTAAATTAATTTTTAAATAATCAATCTAGAGTTGTACACAATAAGCAGTATAAACAATCTGTACCTACCCCTCCCCCGCAGCAAACGCATTTCGATGGCCAGGTCGGGGGCTGATGGGGTTGCCAAGCCTTGCGGGGAGCTCTGGCTTATCACTGGATGAACAAACCTTCTCACGTGCTGTGTTATTATTTATTTAGCAACATTGCCAAACGCAGTGTTTGAGGTTGATAGTAAGTAACAAACTTGGAAGAGTTTGAAGGAGTGCATCCTCTTGAACCAAAGAGTCGGGATTACAGAGACAATTACAAATTTCCCCTGAATAAAAAAAAGTTAAGGGGCAACAGGGTATTAAAACCTTAGAAATTTACAAACACTACGATTCACACGTCTTAATAAAGTCACAAGATTACTGGCCATAAACTTATTTAAAAAATTAAACACGTGTTTCTAACGATCTTGCTGTATGCAAGTTATTTAGTACTTGTATGCTATTGTGATAAAGTTTTTGAACGTACTTACACGTATATATTAAATATTAAGTTGATTTGTCCAAAAGTAAATATAAATGTAACTATACAAAAGATTGGAAAAATTATATAAATTGTTGAAAGAAAGGAATCCATTATATAATATAAGTGATTTATTATTTAGCAAACCGTTTTGCTGGAAAACTGCCAACGCGTTTTTGTCAATCTTCCATTCCCCATCAACAAAATATTTATAGAGATATATGCCAGGTTCCAAAGAAACTACAGCAGAAAAAATTGTTTCTCTATTCATAATGTTACAAAATAACACTTAAGTTTTAGTTCAATTAATAAGTTTAATGGTAAGCGTCTTACTCTCTTCCAGAAACTTTTCTTAATAATAACAAATTTTTCCAATCACTCCAGGAGCCACATAAAAACACTTCTTCTCCCTCATACGCCCAAGAAAATGTTACAAGTCTCTGAATTATAATTTAAAAAGAGTTAAGTTGGAAATATATTAAGTTAGTTTATATTAGAGGGAAAGCCTTATCAAGATAGTTAGTATAAAGCAATTAAAAAAAAGCCGCATCTTTATCAACCAGAAAAAATTAGCAAAGCCGAATAATAATTTAACAAACGCAACCATCTTTTAGGGGGCTAGCTAGAACTCAAAAAGCCACTGCGGTTCCCAAACTGTCGTACTTAGCGAGGTTGCCTCGGGATATCGATATAAAAAGTTCTACTTCTCTAAGTAGAGACGCTCATCCTTGAGGTCATAGTGACGTAGGTGATTAGGCTAACGCCGTGCACTTTTTGATTCGCACAAGCAACCCCTCTGTGACATTTTTTTTGAATAAATCAGTTGGGTATTGCAATTACATTTATAAAGGTGTACAATTTACGATATCGGATAAGTAACCCATTTATTACCGGAGCAGCTTTAAGTATCTCTTCTAAAGTTAGCGATTAAGTGACATTTTACAAAGTGGTTATTGGCCCTTTGAAAATTTTATTGACTAACGTATTTTTCTTGCAAACTATATTTAAAAATTATTTTAAAAACAAGTTACTATTAAGTTCAAGAGGTGCACCCTTAAAGAATTAACTGATAACTTAAGCGTCCAGCACTCTATGGACACGAGTTTTAAAAGTAGGCAAGTTAATAAAAATTCTAAATCTGTCGGTTATACGAGCTTAATGTCTTCGAGAACTATATATTATATAAAAACAAAAAGTATGGTATAGGTTTATTGTAAATACAAGAACTCAGTAATACATTATTTGATAATTTACGAGCTGCCTGTAGAGCACAACAAATTGAAGAAATAAAAACCTTTTTTACATCAGTCAGTGATGTGTTCTCAAGTGCTCAACCCTCTCACGTTACATACATACAAACCTAAAACGAAAGAGGGGCTTACTAACCTCTGAGCCACCCTAGTTTAGGAATGTATAGTGGTTCAAACAAATTACCTTTCATAGGAAAAAAAGGGGAGTGACGTGCGTAAGATGGGCTCTTTATGGTTCGGTTAAGCTAGACGAATATAAGGGAAAATAGGGCACGTTCGTAGTCTTAACTTTGTAGAGATGTAATAACAGAAGAAGATGCACTCAATTGTACCCTTAAAGTTCTTTAGTGTCATTGTCAACAATGTCCCAAGTATTTTTGACTTCAAGGGTGGCACTATTTTCTTAGCTAGCGTCCATTTCTGGTCTGACAGTGCCTCTTTCGGGATTATCGAGATGTTAACAACTTGTGCCAAATCTGCAAGAGGTTTATTACATGTCCTTTTACAGTATTGTAAAGTTCTATTTTCAAGGGATCCTTAACGGTCGTTATTCTAATATTAAGGTTTGCTTCGAGTAGGCACTACAGTTGACCCGTCTTCTATTTCCACTTCATCTATAATTTTTTCTGCTTTTTGAACAACCAAAAAAAAGTGAGAAGTTAATATTGTTCAGAATAGTACCCCAAGCTAAGTCTATTTTTTTTCCTGAACATTGTGTCTCTCACCTGTGATGGCGCCTATAACCTTTTTTCGGCTAAGGTAAGATGTGATACGTATTTTTCAGTGGGAATAACCTTCAACACTTTTTAGTTTTTAGCGAGCTTTAATAATTATCCCAAAAATCCGTTCTTAACCGGTAAAGTAGTAATTGAACTGTAATTATAAATGTCTTGAACCGTTTAGTTTTGCTTCTTTATATATTTCCCTGAGAGTCGTAAGAATTATTAAAAAGGATAACTGCTCCAGTGATTGCTATAAGTATATACAGAGAGAACTTGTTTAGTCTTTGGCCTTTTATATTCTGCCTATTGGTTCGCACCATCTCCTTGAAATCATAAATGAAACGCATCTTAGATTATTTCAAAATTGGGATCTGGTAACACTAAGATGGGGACATCTATAAATAAGAAATACACGAGTTTTACACTTATTCTAAAAACTAAAAGTATAGAGTTTCAATCAGCGGCTAACTTTATTTATAAAGTTTTGTTTCTGGTTCACGTCCACAAGAATAAACAGAGTGTAGGTGCAAACTTTGCTTGCAACTATTAATTACCAATATTTATTAGGTTTTATCGCAAGTACTCAAATCACCCAAGGCTTCTACAGCTATGGAATGCATTTGTTGTCTAGTGATTGGAGGGCTTACAATTAACCTATACAATCTCTTTTTTTAAGCAAAAATATTTATGGAATAAATGGCTGGCATACACCAAAAAGCAAGCATGCTTCCACGCTTTGCTTTTAAATCTCCTCTCTGGCTCTGTTCTCCTTTTATTTTATGTTACACTTCGCCTGCTATGGCTAACACCGTTAAAAGGGGCTTATTTAATGTTACCGATTCGGCGCCTCCCAAACTAGCTTATATCCCAGGCATTTTTTAAGTTTTTATTTAAAGTTATTTTAAAGTTCACTTTGCCTTTCTAAAAAGTTCCTTTTTCTGTACTGCAGTATAATATCTTGGGTTCCTACCTAGCTAAACAAAAATTTTATGACTATGTTCACGCCGACCACTTAAACTGGCGAACTCGTTCCACTAAAATCTTTGAGGAAATAACAAGATATAGCGTACTTTTTATTTAAGTTACTAGGAACCTAAAATTGACTCATTATAATAAATAGCCGGATATTATTTGCCTTCAAGAATTAACAGCTTATTATAATTTTTTTAAACCAAGTTTTTTAAGATTTTCACCTGTTTATCAAAGTGTTTATGCACAAAGGCCATCTAAGACTTACATAACAACTGGGTAACAACCATTACAAGCTACCTTAAAACTTTTTGTGATTCTTCCTGCGTTGGTCTTAGTTTATTTATTTTATATTCCTTTTACAGTTGGCTCAAATACACTAAGTACTTTTGAATGTATATATATTTTTTCACTAGACAGCCTTACTAGACCTTTAGTTAGAATGAACTTAATAGACTTCGTAGTCGTTATTTTTAATAGTGCTCGTTGGTAGTTTAAGCCAAGGTTTATAAAACCCTTTTTCTAGGAGCCACAGCTTGTTATGCACTAGGTCATTCTTAAATTTGAAGGTATAACAGCTTTTATTTAATTCATGTAGCGACTATAAACCTGACGGCTGTGGAATCTTTTGGAAAGATTCTTTGTTTATGGTAGTGTACGTCAAGCGCTTTTACTATAAGGACATGTAAGCCTTTTCGCTTTATTTATTATTGGATACAAAAATTTACATATCAATTTCAAATGCCTTAGTTTCACGTTGTTTATAATATAAATATTTTTGCAGTCATTGCAGAGTAGCTTTAATGGCCATTTTAAGGCACAGAACATCGGGTGCTTACGTGGCTGTAATTAATACTCATCTTTACTGGGATCCTGAACAAGAAGACGGTCAGCTTGCTCAAAGCCAGTTTTTCTATCACTCTATAAGCTAACTTTTCATAATTTTCATGTAGTTCAACTGCAAGAACTTTTTTACTTAAATCAGGAGGTAAGACGAACCTTTTTTTCTTTAGGAATTATAGGTAAACTTTTAAGGTTTTGTCTAACTAGACCTGCGGGTTATTTATATACTTTGAAAGCGCTTTAGTTGTTCCCCTTAAAATTTATCGCTGGGCCCCTTCTTTAATTACTAATTATTAAACTTTAGCCTCTGAACTTCCTATTGTGTTCTGCGGTGATTTCAACAACGTGCCTCAAAGTCTTCTTTACCGCTTCGTTCGAGGCTACATGTTTAATTACAGTGATCAAGAAGCTCGTAACTTTAACGGGAGCCGCCCTTGGGCAATTAAGAACGGAGTTTTAAAGAGTGCCTACTCTTACTACCAGCGAAATAACAGTGAGCGTACCAGTAGATCTTTCACGCTAAACAAAGAAATTGAAGGGGAGCCGCCCTTCACTACCGTCACTAGTCGGCGCTGCCATACCGTCGACTACATCTGGTACTCGTTCAAACATATTCGGCTTAAACAACTGCTGTCATTCCCCAGCGAGGAGAGTTTGAGGGAAGAAAAGCTAACGGGAGCGCCGTGTGGCGGGCTTCCCAATTCCTGTCAGCCGTCCGACCACCTATCCCTTATGGCTTGCTTTGAATTTTTGGTGCCGCGTAATAAAAATAATGCTCGGTAAATGCACTTTTGTTTATTGGAGGTGCGTGCTCTGCTCATGGCCCTTCCATAGTTTTTTGTCTTGTTTTTCCGTGTCTATATATTTTGCGCAGTTCATCCCAGATGAAGACACTCGAGGAAACAGCACAAACCAAGAGCAGGTCGTACAATGATAGTGATTCTGTCTTAAAGATTTTTTGAAGCGGGGAGAAGTATATTACGAGGAGCTGCCCAAGCAAAGAGCCTTTAGCAGAAAAGAATAAGCATATGCAGTTTTAAAAAGAAATATTTGGCAAAAAACCTCCCACAGCATATAGGAACGCCTTGTTTGTAAAAAAACCGATATCTATAAGTCTCTAGTATTAGTAGATGTTATACAAGGATAGGTCGCTGGTCGCATACTAATAAAACACACGTGGTTTAAGCTGCGAGAAGAGAGAGCATTGAACATGTCAAATATAATGAATGTTGTAAAGGCCATTGTCGTTTCTCTACCAAAGGAAAGGGCTTTATATAAATGCAATATTAGATTTGGTAGCAGAAAAGTACCGAGGCGTCAAGTATTTTTCGTAATGTAAGTCATTTTTTTTCAAAAGTGAACCGTCCACGTTGCTGGTATCCATAATTTCCCGGTGGAAAATGTACAAGGTGCCCGCAATGATAAACGCAGCCGAGACGCAGACATGAAAAAAAAGTTCTCTAGGAAAAATTTGGGGATATGCAATAAAAGAAGCGCGAAGCTCGAGTAATAGAATCTTCTTTTGAAGCTGTAAATTACCTGGTAATGACCGGATCATTTATACTTCTTGGCGGTTTTACAAGGCCTCCTTATGTTTTTTTTTATGGCTGATGAGAAAAACTCTATACGTGCAAGCTTTATAAAAGCCAATTAAACACCCGAGTAAAATGGCTCCACGCCCAGACTTTGGGCGGGAGGGCCGTCCATTATTATATTGATCCACAGAATTTGCATTGGGTTTAAGGGATTAGGGTATCCTGAACTCAGAAAACATGGTAGTAACCACAACGCTTCTAGTAAAAGGTAAACAAAGACCAAGAAAAGATGATATGGCCACAAGTCCCAGAGCAGCAAGGGACGTGCTTAACTGCAATGATAGCCTTAAAAAGAAGAGATAATAAAAGCTCGCGTGCTTCTACTTGAAATCTCACGAAGTTTTGAATGTTCGAGAAAATTGTTTTTCCTTCGCTAACTGCTAACACCTTTTAAAAAGACAGTTTATTCAACTAACTTGGACATAAACGCGCATCAAAGCACCAAAGTTGAAAGGTCATCATCAAGAAGTATCATATCCGCCGCTTCCTTGCACACGTCTGTTCCGCTGGAGCCCATAGCAATGCTATTAGGTGTCTTGGTTATTTCTTTATTAAAAATAAGACAGGAGAAAGCCGACCCGATATCGGCTTGTTTTACGGCAGGTGCGTCATTGACGCCGTCTCCAGTCATGGCCACAATTTTTTTAAGCTTGCGTGCATGAGGGGTCAGAAAACCAGTAATCAAGATTATATTATCATTACGCGCTGAAAAGCGCTAACGACGATCAATTTTCCACGAGGAGTCATTCGAAAATATACGGTAACGTGGGGTACTATAGCGGAAACCTTTTCCTCCGACAAATTTTCTTAGAGAAGAGTGGGAAGTGTTGTTAACTTTGATAACGCTATCTTATACCTAACTCGGCGCCAGATAGAGACATATCCTCTTTATAGTTAAATATGCCCACATCAGAGGCTACTTTCAAGGCTATAATGGTAAGGGTAAACCCTTAGCCACTAAATATTGCGGCATTCAGCCTGTAAAGTAATAAGCTACCTGTTTCCTTTTGGTCGCCGGTGATCATTATCGTCTTGACGTGAAAGCTTTTTAAGCAAGAAAGAGCGTGGCCGACTTGCTCGCGAGGAGGGTCATGCATACCGATAAAACTTTTTATTGGTGTGCTGTTATACAGTAGTATTATAAAAAATATACAGTTATACCCCAAAAAAGAGAGAGAATTAAGTGCCGTCCCTATTAATAATAATAAAGGTTTAAATAAGTGAAGTGCACATAATAAAGATACCAGACGCGAAAGTAAGAATTCGTAAGCCGAGGGACCCCAATGAAGTTGTTTCGAGCAGTAGAGACTCCTTCAGCAATGGGGTGATGTCACGCAGTTCACTTCCGTAAAAAACGGTTGAGCCTGCTTGTACCAGCACGTGGGAAATGGCGAGATGATAGATTCCAAGTAAGTGGGATTACACTTGTTTAGCACAACATCGACTGCCCCCTTGACGAAAATTCTTCGTGTTTAATCAAACAAAAAAAAATATAATTAAAAAGCGCTTTAGTTTATTTACGGCGAATAACAAATGTCGAAAAAGCCTAAAATGGTCCTAACAGAAAGGGCTAATGGTTAAAAAAGGAGACCTGTTCACAGAGTTAATTTCATAAATAACCCCCATCCACTTTCTTTCGTGGGAAAACGGAAACTCTTTAACTTTGAGATACGCGCCTGTAAACGCAAAAGGAATATTACAAAAGCCTTTGAGGCGTATTACATATGCCTGAAGCGTCCTTAAAAAGTTATTTCTCTGCGAGTAATCCGTTCTTTATTGTAAACCATAATACGAACCTCTTCTGTCCGGATAGCCAGCCTTCTCTGCAAGTACCAAAAGAGCGATTTCGGTGGGGAGGCCAAGAGGAGGGCCGTCGGTTACAAGCTGAGCATTATTGCACAAGGTGGCGGCCTGTGGGGTTTATAGTAACTATAATGGATAGACTTGTGTACTAATATAGATTTGGGCATGAAGTCTTATTGGTGTATAATATCAAACTCAGTTTTCAAAAATAGTTGAAAACTTTTAAGCTTCTTAATTTATACTGCCCTGTTTGGATGTGTTTCTCCTTCGTGGGTTATCCTTATACTATATGATGGTGGTCTGACAAAATGCGACCCTTGCTATACTATTGGTGGGGGGTTTAGCCTAACCGCCTTTCTACCTCCAGGAGGGGGCCCAAAGAGGGGTAATTTTCAAGATGAACTTGCTGGGCAGACTTATTGATGTAGCCGTTGACAGAGTATCCCTCGCCCGTAACCTTTAAGGTGTTTTTTTAGAAGGGGAGTTTCACGATTAAATGAAAAGACCTCAAATATCTTGTCCTGCGGAGTAAACACCTTGACTACCTTCAGCTCATTTTTTGTTATTGTGCCCGTCTTATCCACGCAAAGAACATGCGCGGCTCCTAAGTCAACCCAAAAGAAGAAGAAACAAAAATTAAGCGTGGTTTTAGGATATTAAAATCAACGAGCCAAGAGCTTCCACTGCGGGCATCCGACGAATGATGGCTTTGCGCTTGGCCATTCTCAAAACGCCGAGAGCCAAAGTGACAGTGACTACTATGGGTAGGCCTTCCGGGATGGCAGCGACAGCAAGTGAAACTGCGATGGTAAACAGTTCGAGATAATTCTTTCCTTGTATAAACTAACCAGTGAAGTATCAATTTGTTTAAAATAGATAATTTGTAAGAATTCAATCACCCCAAGCAGGCATATGACTGCTATTATAGCAAAAGACATTTTAGTCAATGCGACTCCCAGCTCGTCCATTTTCACCTTTAAAAGAAAAGAGTGCAATGAAAAAAAAAACTCCACTCACTAAATAGTGACCTGCAATGGGCTCTTTTTTTCCTCGACGTCCTGCATAATAGCAAATACCTTTCCGATTTCCGTCTCTTCTCCAATCGATACAACCACACCTCGACCCGTGCCGTTCCTAGCAAAAATGTGTATAAATCCTTCTCTTTTAGCTGGCCATAAAATCCCAGTAATGCTATGAGAGACTCTCAATTCTTAAACTAACCAAATTCAGCTCTATATAGTGAAGTGAGGTTTTAATGGGCACCTTATCAGTGTCCCCATATAGACAATATTGGTTCGCTCGTTCAAATCAAGGTTGCGACGAAGTGTCTTCCCATCGGGAATTTTTACCACGTGACTGTTCTAAAGCGTTATTGATGCTAATAAGAATAAAAGTCGCAGTTTGCAAGTAACCTTGTGAACTGCATCGGCCTCCCCTGTTAAAGAACTTTCATCAACTTCCAAGTCATAAGCCTGTGCAACAAACAGGCTGCAGACGCTGAGCTAATTAAAAAGTAAACGCAGCGTAACCTCAATTAATCTCAGGTCTGCTGGCACACGGTCGCCCATATTTAAACATATAATATCACCAGGAACCTATGACGGGGGTGGTCCTAGTGTAATTAACTCTGCCACTAACAATGACTAAGTCTATAAATGTTTACCAATTCTGCAGCATCAAGTTTTATTTTCTGGGCATTCCGCAGGCAACTGCAAGTATATGGAACCAGACGCTCCAGAAGCTTTAAACTTTTTTCTGACTTGTATTCTTGGGCAAAGCCAACGGTTACAACTATAAAGACAGCCTTGTGGTTGTTAAAAACTCTGTAGTAAATGCGACATTGACCGAAGTTGTTACACAAGTTAAGAACCATTGCAATGCTAAAAGCATCACTAAACTGACTTAAGCACAAGCTAATCAGACAGGAAACCAGCAAAAGGCCAATCTATGGATATTCTACAAAGTAGTTTGGAGTAAAAAGACCAAAATTTAGTAAATGCCTTACCAAAGGATCTTTGAACTTTTCCAAAAACTTAATTATTACGGAGGATTTTTTTTTAATCTTCAAAATATTAAATCTTTTTTTAACTTCCGACGTTATTTTTCCTTTATGTTTACCCTTAAAAAATCTAAAAGCAGAAGAAAATAAACGGACGCTTCCCAAAAGTTTAATAATTTTTTTCTTTTTTTTCTTATAAGTAACTTTCTCAGCTAGAATATTCAAGCGCTGCAAAACTTCATTATAATTAAGACCAACGGAAGGACTAACATTATGAAAGCGTAGAACCTACTATTACAAGAAGATATAAAAAAAATTTATCGCAAACTGGTAGTATTTTATATGAACAAACACTTGAAAATTTGCATAAAACGATTAAAGTGTTTAGAATACAATAACCTCTTCCGCTTCTGTAACAGCGGCTGCATCTATATTAGAGACCTGCATAGCCTTAAGCCCGCCACCGTAAGAATGGCTGGTGAAAAAAGAAAGCTTGATCTTGCACTGAAGGTTTACCCCCCCCCAATAAGTTTTTACCATTTAAGTAATTTTCATTGGTGTAGGTTTCTATGTTTGTAGATAAAAAAAAGTCCGTCTTCAAGATAACGATTAGGAATCTTTTTTGTAGCGTGCTAACTTTAATGCATATCATTTGACAAAATTAAGTACATCTTCTCTTTAAGCATTTTTTGCTAAAAGCAGTACTTAGAATAAAAGCTAATCTAATAACTCATATAAACCAATTAGAAATAACACAAAAGTAAATAACTTAAATTGATTTAAATTAAATAATTATATATTTTTTTTAATTGCCTATTTATTAAACTTTTATTAAATCAATTTAAGTTATTTTACTTTTGTGTTATTTCTAATTGGTTTATATGAGTTATTAGATTAGCTTTTGTTCTAAGTACTGCTTTAAGCAAAAAATGCTTAAGATACTACAAAAATAATTTTACTAACATATTTACCCATAAAATGGCGAAATAACTCTCAAAATTTTATTGAAAAACTAATTGATAAAAGCTTGGGACAAATAAAAAGTTGTCATAATAGGTCAGTAAACCACAGTTCAACATAAAACAATTATTTCGATTTTACACAAGAATTAAAATTTCAATCAAAAAGGGTAAGATAAATTTATAGCAAAGAGGACCCGTTCACCAGTGGTCGAAATAAATTAAAGTTTACCTAAGTAAAAGTTTTGATACTACGGTAAACAATTTTTTAAAACTAATATTTAAATAATTTATAATACAGGTGTAAACTTAAATATATTTAAACAAAAGTAAGATTTTTAAAACTTTAATTAATTTATAGTCCATAAAGTATCGACCATAATTGAAGGAAGAGTAGAAAGCAAACAAAAGGAAATTCAAATTTATAGACTCCATAGTTTTGCATGATATAATATATACCTACGCATCTTAACCAAACTGTGTCTGGCAAGTATAAACTTTTTATAGAACATTTACCGTCCTTTGAAGTGCCCAATCGTACTATGCCCGTTCTAAAACTTTTATTGCCTTGAAGTTTTATTTCATCATACGTATTGTTTTTTCTCTCACAGACCTATCTACTCATCTTGAAGGTATAAATTCTCTTCCTTTACTAAATAACTCCTCTTTTAGTCCATCATTATGTATATTAGCTGCCTAGCTTGAAAGAGCTCAAAGTGGTTACTCTCGGTATTTCGTAAAATATAAAACAAAAACTGTAAAGACAGACTATATTCTAAATTATTTAACTCATCTGAAGGGGGTTGAAATGCAATCGGTTAAAAAAGAAGGGCAAGCACCGCTCTTCTCCTCGGCAGGTTGCCTAAATGCGAACAAGGATCTTTTTTTAGCTTAATAGCTTGAAGTATATCGCTGTGTAGGATAAACTTTTTAAACCTACCAAGAAAAACTGTAAATCGAGCAACAAATGTGTCAAGAATGGCGGTTCTCGGGATTAAGGCCTTGCGCTAAAGGCGCTAACGTCAAACCTACCCACCAATTGCCAAGCAGAGCTTCCCTTTAAATGATGTTATATAATTCGGAAATTTCACCCACAAGAATTTACAAGAATTGATAGGAATCTACGTCAAAGAAAATTTAAGCTATGCACAGCATTTTAAACTGAACTTATCGTTTGAAACAATAAATACTGCACCTGTAAATCACGTGATCAATAACTTTATAGCAATGCCCAAAAATGCGATCAGCTCTTATTTAGCGAAGGCTATCAGAGCTATTTCAGAACATAAAAATTTACGAGTTTAGCTCGTGGATCTTTCCCGATTTTGGTGAGGAACACTGAGAGCAACCCTGCAAGAAACAAGAATTACATAGAAGTTATCGACGGAACGGTTCTGGACATAACCCTTATCTTTGAAATACAAAGGAAGCGAGGGCCTGACTACTACTGTTTAAGGCGTGACAGGAAAGACAATGGAAGAAGAAGGATAGCCGTTTTTACTAAAAGAAACATTACACAAGAAGTATTCTATCTTTTCTGGCATGGTAAGTTTATAAGCTGTTAACATAATTAAAGAGCTCTGTCACAATGGAAGGTCGCTATAATTGCTGCTTACAAAATTCGCCTACAAAGTAATGCATAAACTTACTGTTGATAAGATTTTTGCGGTTTCTCCAGTTTGTCGAACTAGCCGACGAAAAAGGCTTATTAATATTTGTCCCTAGACCCAACGCATCGCTCTCTTAAAGGGACTAGCGAAGTTTTAAAAGGAGGCAACAAAAAGCTGTACCTGTCACTGTTAATACTCTATTTAAAACCTTTTCTGTTGACTACTTCATTTTAGAGAGATGGTAGTAATGCGACTTCGGAACTTATAGATAAACGGTAACTAGTTAGCCAACATTTTTGGTATATCCAGGCAAAAACTTTCAATATTTAATAGTTTCAAATTCTATAAAGGCACGACTTGAGAAGTGTGGTGGATGCTTCCTATGTCCTCATCAATTTATTACAGAGAGAGTGCAATGCCATATATTTAAAATTTCGAGAAAATGGCTTACTAGGGCCAGCAACCAATATAACGATTAAATAACAGGGGCTCTTTATTATAACTTTGACTGCTACACCAAGTATCGCAGTCAATAGCCTCTTAAACCTGCTTGAGAGGGAAACATGCAAAAAATTTTAATTTAATTTCTTAATATATATTCATACCAAAAATTATCTAGGTCAATATTAAATGTAATATCTTATCAGTTTTAAAAAATACACAAACATCTAAACAACAATAAGTCACACATACATAATACTTAAAAGATAAATCAATTAACAAAGTTGTTTATGAAGTCGCTTCGTGCTTGCATTTTGTGGGAAGCGCAGGGTGTGGGGAGGGTATGCTGACAAACATGTTTCATCAGATCCTTGATTGGCGCATTTGAAATGCAAAATATCTTAATACGCATGGAAACAACGAATATATGAGCCAGCATATAGTAAATAACTTTCCTTTTAGCTTTGGGTAAACACACTCTTAAAACTGTTGAAAACTCAAACTAAAGGATTTTTCTTTTTTTTTTTTTTTGATTTTTTTCTTTATAATTCTACTGTTAATGACTAAATTAATAAAGAATTTATATTTAAAGCTGCTTAGATTTTGTTAACAAAAAAATCATATTTATAAAAAGCTTACTCGTTTAGAGAAGAATTTTGTGAATAATATTTATCGGGTGGAATTTAAAAAAATTATTTTTGAATTACTATATATTAAACGCAGTTCCCAAGTGTACCGTTTGTACCTGTTCGTTTGGTGGATCCCTTGGTAGTTGGTAGGTTGCTTTCTCTTCTTGAGGGGGTTTGAAGACCTATTTTTTCATTTATTTTTTTGGTTTTTTTTTCATTTTTATGTAATATAGTGGTATTTGCGACTTTACCTGCGATTCTATTTATACTTTTGAATCATTAACTTAGAATCCTTATCATTTTAGGTTTTAGAAGTGTTTTGTTAGAAGATTATTTTTTTCAGAGAACTATGAAGAGGTCCCTATTTCTAATCTATAGTTATTATTTTTATAATCGTCTTTTGACGGTACAGATTGTATTTCGTGCTTTATTACGCCCTGGCTGTTGTTTCTGTAACTGCCGAGGAAAGTACATCTAAGAAAAATTTAGGAACATTTAGCACAGTTAACGACTTTAACTTTATTGCTGATGAAGTCGTCCAGCTAAATAACAATGACGTAATAATCAAAAGGATTTCTTCCCACAATACGGCATGCGATAATGGAAATTGGTCGCTTACCAACAATCCTGTGGAACTAACAGGATTGAAGGATGTGATTAGTCTAGTCAAGAGCTTCGAAGAAACCTAACTTGCAAAACCTAAAAAATAAGATCACTTAATCTTTGCTTGCAATGAAGAATTTGCACACTCTTTAAACCTTGAAGTTTACCTATGAATTTAATTCTGAACTTAATGCAGTTGTTGTTTTTAACAAGGGTCACTTATACATTACTATAAATGAAGAATCAGATAATTGCCAAAAAAAGAAGGTGGTATTTTTAGTTCTGAAAAATTTACTATGGAATTTATGAAAGGTAACAGTGGTAATAAGTTATCCGAAGGTGTATTTACTTTTAAATACTCAAATCAAAAAAAATACTTAACTTTTGTTTGCGATGATAGTGAGTTTGAAGAATTAGATCTGGGTACTAGTAAATTTAAGGAATTTACCTTTGAATCAAACCAAGCTACTAAAGTGAATGTTACTCTTATAAAGGGTGAGTTACACAGATATAAATGATTATACGTCAATTTGCAAAGAAGACAAGTGGTATTATAGTGAAAATAAAATTCATGGTCATAATCAATTAACTGGACTTAAAAATTTACTTATGGTTGAAAACTCAACAAATAAAATTATTGTACCATTCGATCATAAAAAGGAATACTTAGTATATTATTGTAATGAAAATATAATTGAAAACATTCCTTTGGATTCTTCAATTGAGTACTCTATCAAAAAAGAAATAGGTTATCAAACAAGAAATAGGTTATTCTCAATTCAAGCCCACTCTTAATCTAGATCAGAACAACTTAACTATAACTTTTGGAAAAATCCCGGGGAAATGCAAAAAAAAAAAGTGGTGCCTTACTAATTTTAACAATCTGAATGAAAGGAAGTTAGATGAGGTGCTGGATAAGGTAGGCATTAATGTCGAAAATCCTGTGGATATATCGATACCCTTTGAAAAACTTAAATATAACAACCTTAGGTTTTTATTGCAACCCTAATGAACATGCATACTACACTATCAAGACTGCTGATACAAATATAAATCAAAATCACTTTAGTAAACATGGCGAGTTTAATTTTAAAGTCGAACTCAGTGTTGAGAAAGCACCCTTCCTAATTAGTCATGCTAAATACGACGAACATTGCACTTCTAACCTTTAATTTCTTACCAAAAAGCTAGAGGAGGAAAAAAGTTATCCTTTTAGGATTTTATTAACGGCCAATCAGATTAAACACAAAAATATTAGTTTAGGGAATCTAAATGATGTGAATAATTATAAATACTTACGGATGCGATAATATGTATGCATTCATTCATTTGGATAATAAGCTTTTTGCCGATCCGCCCAATGCCCAAACTTCTTCTACCGGTTCTAATCAACTTGAAGATAATGAGTCATCTGGGAAGGCGGGTGCCGCACAAACTAATCCGTCCTCGGAAACTAAGTTCGATTCGAAAAGTAAGCAAAGCAAAGAAAATAACAAACACACCGCCCAATCCTAAAAGTGACGTTAAAAATGCAACTGGCAAACCCAAAAAAGCTAGAAAGTCCGGACATTTACTTCAAAGTAATGCTGCATTGCTAGTAGGTTTATTTTTCGCTTTATTGGATGTAAAGGTTTTAGATTTATAATTTATAAATAAATTTTATGTTTAACAAAGTTAAGTTATCTTACCCTCTATTGGAGTAGTAATATTCTATTTGCTTGGTTAGTAAGTCATATTTCACTTGGTTTATTTTTCTGACCGTTACATTCTGTTCCGAATGTCTTTTGTATATTAACATACATTAAATTTTTTAGCATTTAAACTAAAATTGAAAGTAAAATTTCCGAGTAGGCTGGAGTGGGTTGGCTTTATACTATTTCTTTTAAACTGGATGACTTAACACATGTTTTTAGCATTTAAGCTAAATTTAAAATTAAACTTCAAAAGTATGATGGAGTGGATTGTATATTAAATATTTTATGCTGTTGGCTTTTTAAGTTAAATTCATCATAGACCCCTTCATACTTTATTTATTAATTAATATTGTGACTTAGGATGGGTATGTAAGCCTTTCTAAAGGGTCAGGAACAGCCTATTTTGTTAGCGTTCAGGTTCAAACCTGTCCACCGATTTTCCTCTTTTAATAGAATTGTATGTATGCCTCCATTACGAGGTAGGGTTGCACTTAATTACTAAAAATATTTTATGAAGATAGCTTGATTTCTTGAAGTCTCCACTATATAAAACTTCATATAATAAGACTTATCACAATAGGTTGCTAGTTGGGGTTGTGTTAGCCCTTCTAAATTGCTAACTTAAAATTTTCTTTAAATTTTTATTTGTAAGTGGAATTTAATTAAAATTATATATACTTATTTTTACTAAGTCATACCCTTTGTGAACCGGATAACTTATATATTAGGTAAATAAAGTGATTTAGACAGGGTAGAAAAACATAAAAATGCATATTACTACACAGGACATCTGTATACCTTATCATATATAGAACCTACATAATTTTGAACTAAATATATTTATTGCATCTTAAAACATGTAATAAATATTTTGAAAACTATGTTGTTTTTACTATAATATATTTATAGTCAGAAAACATGCAAACGGATAGAGAGACTCCTCACACCAAAATTTCGAAATTTAAAAGTGCATCTTAGCAACTAACTTGCGTTTGAAGCCTTCCAGATTGGTTACCGAGGAATTTATGGCAGGTACCCCTTTCTCACCCACTCATACCGGCTCCTCGTTCCTCTGAGTAGGCCGTCCCCGCGTCTCGTAATTTAATAGGTTCCTTTCACAAAGTGCTTTCGTAAACATAGTCGCTACCATATCTTCAGTTTTACAATAATGTATTGTATTTTCGTAGTCCTGTTAGCTAATGCCTTGACGTAATGAAATTTGAAAATTAATGTGTCTGGAGAGCTTGCTTCTATATGACTATGCGCATGGTTGTCTGATTGCCCACATTTATTATATTTAATACCATTAATAAGCTTTGCATCCCTTTTAAGTATCGTAAGCACGATGCTAAAGCGATATACTCGGCCCCTGCAGAGGACAAAGCTGTAATAACCTGCCGTTTCGATCCCCAAGCTGTGGGTTAACTATTTAAACAATGACTATTTTTCTACGATTAACCTCTGGTATCATACTCAGTAGTATAGTTTGCAACTGATATAGAGCAACTTTAATGCTTTTATATATCCTCTGCCTACTAATTGCAAGGTTCTGGTCTCACTTTAAAAGTTGTTTGGCTGCGCACCAGAGACTTCTGTTGCAAGTTGTTAAGTGATGGACACACATTTGTCCGTAAACGAGGTAGACAGGCTATATCTGGGCTGGTCTGGAGTAACCCTACGATTTTGTTAATAGAGCTGCTATAGGAAATAATCGTAAGGCTTTGTAAGGGGGAGTTGCTCATCAGGTAAGGGTCAGACTTTGCACCTCTAAACCATCTTTTTTTTTTGTAGTACTAAGGCCCACAGTGGAGTTAGGTATGACTTTTGAACTCGAAACTAATGTATTTGGTCATGCCCCTAGACTTATTGACATCACTTGTAAGAAGGCCGAGGTCATCTACATAAGGGAAAGCGTAGTCATCGAGGTAGAGGCAGCTGTTTGTGTATAAGATACATGACTCTCGTGCTGGTAGCTGAAACCCTGCTTCTTTTGATTTTCTTATATAAGTTCGTGCTACAGTTGCCCGTCTTGCTTGGTCGCGTATAATGCTTTATTAAGGGGGGTAAACATTGAACGTTCCATAGTATAGCTATGGATTAATTGGCAGCCCATAAGTATTTTAATCAAATAAGGCAAAACTAACTTTTAATGTGGAGCTCAAAATTGTGGTATTCATTGAGAATGTAATTAAAATATGTTTGAAAATTTATTTGATAGTAGTATTTATTAATTACATTAAAAAGAGAATTGTTTGTAAAAATGCCCATAAAGTTTATATAAAGCATTTGTTTGTTTTTATTACATTACAGAAAGAGAGAAAAAGAGACGATGAAAAAAGGATTCATCATTACAATTCAGAGTAGTGTTATTACATATAAAATAATATCTTATGTTAATTCGTAGGTGGCATTAAGGAAACCTCTTTTAAGAGTATTTTTTCTTGGCAAACACTATAAAGGACATATTTCTTAAAGTTATGGTACCGGCGAGTTCTATATTTTAATATAGTCTATTACTCTCATATTTAGCTAATGTTTAAGGAATATTCTGAATGGAATTAAAGGATGGGGTTAGTTTAGGGTTGATTGGTGGTGGCTCTGATAAATCACGTTCCATGCCAGGTGGTAGATGGTTTAGGTAGCCCCCTGATTTCTTCTTTGTCCCACATTTTTTAATTCTTCCCTGAAAGTATAAATATCACTTGCTCTGCGGGAAAATGAGTGCGGAAGTTTATATTCATTATTACGCTACTTGCACCGAACTGTAGCTTATTAGGCTAACTTAAATATCCCGGATTCCATCCATGAGCTTAAAAGAACCTACCCCTAACGAAGACTTGTTGGTTACTTGCTACTTAACAAAACCACCACTCCAAGCTGTTAAAAGAGTAGGTACTAGGAAATAATACTACTGTTTCTATATCATCCATTATTCATACTAAAACTGTACCATAGATGGGAAAAAAATATCATACTAATATTTATGAAAATAAACGCATTACTAAACAGGTTGGCAGAAAATTATTATCTCCGAAGTATCTTTTAAATTTAATTAAACAAATATACATAATTGGAAATGCTTTTTTTTTAACCTTTAAAGGTATATAAACGACTTGGTTGCCTATAAAAACACAACTCCCGTCTATTTTGTTTACGCCCTCTGTTGTGCTATTATACTGACCCGTTAAGGAAGCCGTAGTTTTCAAACCCTCACCCAACAGAGGAATTGTAAATCACGCCTGTAGCAAGACAGTGGTGTATATAAATTAATAAAAAACACGTTTATCTGGCTTTTCGTCATTTTTTCTTCGTCATATTCTAAGCATTTATTCTTTGCGCTATGGTAAAAATCCATTTGACTGCATATAGACCACCTGACTTTCGCAGTAGAGTTTGCTCTTTAAAGTTGGCATTACCATATAAAACTGGAAGGCCCATGCCGAGTAAGCAACTAAACAACTTTGTTGTGTGAGCTTTTTTAAAAAAAAACCTATGCAGTTTTCTCTCCTCTGACCCGTCTTACGGCTAAATCGTCAATACCTATTATTCTAAGTATATTTGCTTTTCCATTGCAGGGTTTGTGATTTCACTCGCGTGGGAAAGAAAAGGAAATTTTAAATTTTTTTCGTCATATTAATACACTGACTACTAGTTACCGTCTGCAGACATTTAATATGTTAAAAATAACCCTCTCTTTTAGAGCTCTACTCTCCAGCAAAGGGTTATTTTTTACTTTATTATAGAAAAAAATCATTAAAAAAGGAAATAGTAATTAGAGTAATATCAAAATTTGGAATTTTTATTTAATTTTTAAACTCGTTTTTACAGTATAATATAACGTAACGGACAATAAAATTAATCTGTCGCCATTTATTTTATTTATTTTTCATAATATATTAAAATCTATATGATATTTTTATATTTTAGTTTTTTTTATATTAGTTCTGATATTCTTACTTTTTTATAAATTTCTGTTGGTAATATTAATAATTATTATAAAACTTTGTTCAGGCTGAAACTAAAAGGTTTTGCTCGTTAGATGCTTTCACCCAGTGGACAACTTCACGCGCTAACTCCCAAGTTAGCTGTATTGGCTCAAAAATTCCTTTGAGTTGGTTTTAATATAAATAATACTTTCGTTCATTTGCGCTTTCTCTGCTCCTCTGATTGTTTTGCTAGTATCAAACTTTTAAGGGTGTAATGGAAGTTGATTACGAAGAGGTACTAAAACGTGTAGATTTAGTTAATTTTCTAAAAGGGTTTTGCATTTTTTTTTAAGGCTATTTTTTTTATGCTGAAAATTATTTAGTTCAAGGAAAACCGCATACTGAATGGTCGGGATAATATACCCGTTAAGGCTCTTGATGAAATATATCAGAAGAAAACACAGCGAGAACATGTTCTTTTAAGGTCTTTCAACAAACTTATTTGCCACAAATTTCTTTTTACGTAAACTAACCTTTTTCATGGACAAACTTGATTACATTTTTTAAAATTTTATCCTTTGGAATTATATGTAATGTTTGCGCTAGGTACCTTCTCACATCAATATTATATAAAGAAATCATAGACATTTAAAGCAACGCAAGACACTAGTTAAGTTAACACGAAAGTGTACTAAAAAATGCAGAATAATTCGGTTGCTGAGAGTTCATTTAGTTATCTTTATAAAAAAGCGATGTAAATGGTTCTGGTTGAAGAATACTCTATGGAGAATTACCCAAAACCAGATCTGAAGACCAAAAATCTACATTAATGGCATTATTAAACATCCTTATTAGTCAGATGGTGGCAACTTTTTATTTTTACTTAGAGTTTACGGATTAGGGTTTTAAAAAAAAAATTAGCGCAGGTCTACTTAGAAGGTTAAAATAAATAACAGAAATACTTAAGGAAGTGTTCACGCTGTCGCCTTTTATTAATACTTTGTCAAAACTATAATTAGTGTAGCATCTTATTGTCTTAGCTAAACTTAGTCTTAGAAATTATCTTTTTCAGTTTTCATGTTTTAAATTTGCATACTATATTTTTATAAATCTTCATCTTTTAATTTAAATTTATTTTGTTGAAGACCCGATTCCTACATAGGCTCTACTGAAAAAATAACTGAGAATCAGTGGGTGGTTGAGAAACATGAAATGGTGTACAAGTCCATCACTTATGTCCCGGGACTTTATAAGGTTTTGTAAGAAATTTATGGTTTTGACTTTCGAATTATTATAATATGCGTATAAATTAAAGATCTTTGATGAAATTTTGGTTAACGCTGCTGACAATAAGCAACGCGATCCGTCCATGAATAAGTTAGTTATATGTATTGATCGGACGAGTAACAGGTAAACTGTGCACAGATGATCTTGTGATAAATTTTTATTTTTTTTCCTATAGAATTGAAATTTGGAACAATGGAAAAGGTCTTCCAATTCGCATTCTTCAAAAAGAAAAAATGTATGTGCCTGAATTAGTGTTTGGTCATCTCCTCACTTCTTCCAACTACAACGACGAGGAGAAAAAGGTAATCTACCTCTCCTTACTTTTGTAACACTCGCCGGATGCCATCCTGCTGGGAAGGTAACTGGCGGAAGAAACGGTTTTGGTGCGAAGCTATGCAACATCTTCAGCACTCTTTTTGTCGTAGAAACTGCCGATAAGGAAACAGGTCTGCTCTTCCGACAGGTTCAGCGTGTGCCGTCCCCGCGGGTGACTTTTTAGCCACTGGCTATGTATTTCTCCCGAAGGAGTTCCGTAATAATATGACGGAAAGGAGTACGCCCCGCGTGACTCGTAACCACGGTTTGGTGTTGTGCCTTTCGCACTTCTGAGCAAATGCCCTTTTTAGTAAAGCACCTTTTGTTTAGGAGTCAAAGAATACACGTCTATTTGCTTTACGCCGGACTTTGGCAGGTTCCGCATGGAAGGCTTGGATGAGGATATCATTGCTCTCTTCACCAAAAGGGCATACGACATGGCTGGCGTTTTGGTCTTCTACTGCTATTAGATATAAGTTGTGGCCCTGCTGACCTGCATGTCTTCTATTGGTAGGAAGACGTTCGGGTCGTCTTGAATGGCGAGCGTATTCCAATTAGTGGTTTCCAAAGTTACATTAAAGTATCTGGCCGCTTCCCAGTTTCGAGATGCGAAACCTGTTTCATAATGGTATTTGACTGCAGCTTTTCCTTACGAAGCAAGATAAAAGCGTCCCTATTCTGTACGAGCGGGTGAACAACCGCTGGGAGGTACTGCCGTAGGGGTATTGTGCCCGCCTCTGATGCCTTCCAACAACCTTAAGGTGGGCATAACGCACAGCGACGGGCAGTTCCAGCAAAACAGCTTTGTTAATGCCATTGCAACAACAAAGGGAGGGACCCACGTGACACACGCCTGCGAGAAGTATGACAGATTTTTGCATAATCTTTTGTTAGCCCACCGCTTTTATGTACTTCATTAGAATAGTATCGAATATTGTGGAAATTGTTGCCAAAAAAAATAAGGCGGCGCCAGTAAAACCAACGCAAATTAAAAATTACGTACGTGCTATCCTGCTTTACTGGTCTTTTTTAACGGCATTTCTGCAGCTGTGGGTATTTGTTAACTGCCGGATTGAGAATCCGTCGTTCAGTTCGCAGACCAAAGAGCACATGACACTTGGCCCTGCCGCCTTTGGCTCCAAATGTGACTTGAGTGATAAGGTAATTTCCGATAAACACGTGGACTATCCACTACTTATCGTCGACTAGTTTATTAAGGCTGTCATTCACTCTGGGGTCATCGATAAGCTTCTAGAGTGGGCCAAGTTCAAGCAAGCAAGCGAACTGAGAAAACAGTGCAGGTTACCATCTGAACGGAGCCGCGGAGCCGTCTCCCATTATCTAATTATGTGCCCGGTGCTTCTCAGCGGGAACAAGGGGGCCCGACTCACTGGTATACCGAAACTGGATGATGCTAATAAGGCTGGCACAAGACTTTCCCACCAGTGCACTCTTATTCTGACGGAGGGAGACTCTGCAAAAACACTCGCCGTGAGGTACTCCTCTTCGATCTCCAGTTGTCCTGCAACTTCCTATTCCACGCTTCTAGTGGACTGAGCGTTGTAGGCCGCGACTTTTACGGTGTATTTCCCTTAAAAGGCAAGTTGCTGAATGTGCGGGAGGCGACCCATAAGCAGATTATGGGAAACAGCGAGATACAAAAGTTCATTTCGCTCGTGCAGTAAAGACTGTGAACTCTAACACGACCTCACCACCTTTAACTAGCATCGTTAAGATAGTGGGGTTGAAGTATAACTACGTGTATAGAGATATCAGCAGTCTTCGATACGGCTCCCTCATGATCATGACGGACCAAGTAATATACTCCGCCCTCATACTTTGCGCTTTCTTACGCGTGTGTCCCATCCATTTTTTTTTAGGACCATGACGGTTCGCACATCAAAGGGTTGATTATCAACTTTGTCCACTACTTTTGGCCTTCCCTTCTCAAGGTTCCTTGCCTTCGCACTACCAGCTAATCGCAGCCCCGTCTAATTATGGCGGTTCCACAGATTCCTGGCTTTTTGGTTGAGTTCATCACACCCATCGTAAAAGTTAAAAAGGGCCACGTATGCATCCCCTTTTACACGATTCCAGGTACTGCCTTGTATAAGAGTGACTGGGTCTTGCTTACGCCCTCGAGTTATCAGAGTATCAAGAATGGAAGAGCAGAACTAACACGGACGGTTGGGATATCAAGTACTACAAAGGTTTTCTTTGCCTGTCCTTTTCCGTCCTTCGAGTTGCAGCATGAGCTTGTGCTACAGGTCTGGGCACAAGCACTCCCGCCGAGGCCAAGGAGTACTTCCAAAACCTGCGGAAGCATAAAATCTCGTTTAGCTGGTCCTCGCCAGGCGATAATGATAAGGTTTGGGCTTCGACGGCCGCCAGTTTTTTTAGAATTTTTCACATAAATGGGCGGCAGATTGAGTTGGCTTTCAGTAAGAAAAAGGCGGATGACCGGAAGGAGTGGTTGGGCTCCTTCATTCCTGGCACGTTTCTGGACCAGAATGTGGACTTTATTACGTATACTGACTTCATTGACAAGGAGCTCGTCCTCTTCTCTATGGGTGCCCTTTCTCCTTTTCACGCTTTTTTGCTTGGGCAGTAACTCAAGTGCCAGCGGATAACATGCGCTCTATTCCTTCTGTAATGGACGGCTTGAAACCGGGCCAGCGGAAGGTATTATTCGCGTGCTTCAAGCGTAACCTTAAAAAGGAAATCAAAGTCAGTCAGCTGGCTGGGTAAGTTGAACGCGCGTTATAGGCCGCCCTATTCTAATTGGTACTACATACAGTTACGTAGCTGAACACTCGGCTTACCACCACGGCGAGGCCAGTCTATGCGCTACCATTGTCAGCATGGCTCAGGTAGGCTTCTTGTAGTCGCCCGCGAAACCTTCTGGTCATCTATGTGCCAAGAATTTTGTGGGAAGCAATAACCTTAACCTTCTCCTTCCTATTGGTTCTTTTGGTAGTCGTCTTATGGGCGGAAAGGATGCGTCCAGCCCTCGGTAAGAGTTCTCGTCTCCTTCGCTTATCCCCACTCTTGTCGTTATCCCTTCCAGGTACATCCACACGGCGTTAAGCCCGCTGGCTCGCTTACTATTTCCTGCGGCAGATGATAATATATTGAATTTACTAGACGACGATGGCCAGAGCATCGAGCCGGGTCACCCGGCTTCCCTGTACTGCCGCCTCCTCTGCGTCACTAACTTTCGCACTCACTGCAGAGTGGTACTGCCCGATTGTGCCCATGCTTCTGGTGAATGGCTGCGAGGGTATCGGCACCGGCTGGGTTTACTTGCTAACTTAAGGATTGTTTACGATGCTCTCATACGCCACCGTAGAGAACAAGCATCCCCAACTACAATGTTTCCGACATTATCAGCAATATATACAGGCTGCTTGACGGAAAAGCGCCGACGCCGATGAAGCCGTACTACCACGGCTTCGAGGGTGTAGTGGAGGTAAGCGCTTGAGGCCCCCCTCCCCCACCGTGATTACGCGCTCTGACTTACAGCTTCTTTCGCACTCAGGAGTGTGAGGATAGTTATAAAACTTTTGGAAGAGTGAAGATCCTCGACAGTAACACGTTGCAGATCATCGAACTTCCCATCCGGACGTGGACCTCCTCGTATAAGGAGGTTTACCTTCTGTCCAACACAACTGCAATTATTTTCCTGAGGGATTTCTAGTTCTTGGATGCTGTCTTGACCAGCGATAGTCCTTTTGTCAAAGACTTCAAAGAGTATCATACAGACACAGAAGGTTTTTAGACGCTTAACCTTTGCCTTTGCGCCATGTGAGGGTGTGTTCTGCAGTTAACTTTCTATTAACGGTGGACGCAAACATCATAGACGAAGCCCATCAGGGCCTGATCCACAAAAAATTAAAGTTGGAGTCGCAGTTTTCGTAAGTTTAACTGGTGTTTAGCCGCTTGGAAGCACAGCTGTGTAACTAAACTTCTGCGCTTTTAGAAAAAATAACTTAGTAGCCTTTGATCCTCATGGAAAAATCAAAAAATACGAAAATGCAAACGCCGTAAAAACTTAATAGTGAAGCGATTGCCGTATTTGTTTCCATCTGCTTTTCAGATTCTCCAAGAATTTTTTGAAGTTCGTTTAGAGTTTTATAAAAAGCGGAAGGCTTACCTGGTCGAAGTGTACACGAGGGTGAGTGTCAATCTCACTCTGATCAGCTTTCGCTTTAATAAGAATTGGCTTTTTTTTTTTACTAAGGAGCATGAAAGGCTTTCCAATAAAGTCCGCTTTGTCAAGGCCATTATAAGCGGAGGTGTGCCCCTAAATTTTAAGCCAATATTTGGCCTTATAACACTTTGTTTGGGCCAGACATCATCCTCAACAATAAACCTAAGAAACATCTGTTAGAAGAACTAAACTTGAAAAACTATAAAAAGTTCAACACAAAGGTTCTCTATTCTTACCAAAAAAAAAGATCCTCTGCCTGATTTTCTTGACATGTTCGTTTTGCGGGCACGCAGGAGAGCGAAGATAATTCCGGTTATAATTATCTTCTGTCCATGCCTCTTTGGAACTTGACTGCAGAAAAAGTCCAGAATTTAGAGGTAAAGTCCAATGTTCCGCTTTCATCTTATTTGAAGCCTCTCCTTTCCTCGAGTAGGATACGATGCGTCAGAAAACGGAGGAGTTGATGTTGCTGATCGAAACTTCGGTAAACCAGCTCTGGAGAAACGACTTGGCAGAGTTTAAAGCAGTAAGCCACCCACTTTTATTCTGCGATGATAGTGTTTACTGCTTTGTAGATGTACGACGAACTCTACTCGGGCAGAGCATCAGGTTCTACAGTTTATTGGAGTGCACAATTAATTTGTTATAAGATCGGCTACTTTCATAGAGACTTCGTCTTCCAGTAAAGGAAAGGTTGCGTCCATCTCTAGAACATCCGTGCGAGTAGTAACTACTGGCAGTAGCACCGCCTGGGCGGTAGGAAGTGCAATGCAAAGTTTTCTGTGCCAAGAGAGCAGCCGGTGCGTGTGGACCCTTTATGCCTCTCGCTGCATCCTTGTTTATAGCGCACCCGCAGGGAGTGGAGGTTCCCGTTCCCGGGAATTTTACCGGGAAAGATGGGCAGCAGCCTAATCACCGTTCCAAGCCGCCAGCCTTCGAGGTTCTGCCGCAGACCCCGCTTCAGAAGAATAACGAAAAAGGACTCAAAAAGGCTGACCTCCCCGTGGACCTAACCTCTGGGTTCTACGACTTTGAGGATTCTCGTGGCGGTTCACTTCTCTCTTCCGAAGCCGCAAAACCTCTTAATTTAAGAAAAACGGTCAAATCTTCGAATATCCCTCGAAAGAGCCCCTTTTCTTCAGCAATTTCCGAAAACTCTTTGGTACTTTTGGGCCCCAAATTTAAGTTTGCCTGTTAATTTTATATACTGGGGTAATCATGCTTTCAGAGTAGTAGTGAGAACGTGGATGGTGGGAATTTGAGCAGCGAGGTTTTTTTTTCAATGCTATGTTCTATCCTGTTGTTGCTTAAGCTCGCTATACATAGGACGAGTCGGAGGCATATATACAAACTCTTGCAGAGAGACTAGCTTCCAAAGCCAAACTCTCAAGCTCGCTCGCCACTTTAAAGACAGTTTCTGCCACAGATCCCATCTTGTAACTCGCTTATAAACTTTTTGTCTAAAAATAAAGAAGGTTAATGTTACGAAATTCATCTAACTTTTGATAAGTGTAGTGATGTTTACTGCTTTCTTTAGAGTGTAAACACAGAGTGAAGTAGCATTAAAACAATTTTTTTAGTATAGTGGAGTCGGTGAACATCACCCACTCGCCCACTTTTTATAAACTTCTAAAAATTTATACACCTGCTTTTTTATTCGACTGATTAAATCCAAGTAATACAGGGAGTCAAAGTGTGTTAAGATAGCCTTTTAGAGCAAAAAAAAAAAAAAAAACAGAAGTTGCAAAACAACAGTTCTAATTTATTATTGAGAAATGCAAATACAGAAAAATCTGAAATTAGGAGTTCACCAGACTCAATTTCAGCTGGAGCTATAATATTCACCCTTGTTGATAAGCTAAACAATACTGCAGTTAAGCTTTCCCAGGCGGGTGATCTCGAATCTGCGACTGTTCAAGAGCCTCAACCAGAGGGCAGTGTTACAGCACATGCTGTAGATAATCACAACCGAAAACAACTGCCTCTTCTCGTGGATATGCTGCATGAGCTGCTGATCAAACTTCACAGTGTCCAAGTCTACCGGCGATCTTCGCTTCGGAACTGACTGGCTGGCAGGCGGATTAAGTGGCTCGCTAATTGCTACAGGCTCGATGGGGATCTCGCTTATCCCGAAAGATTCAACTTTAATAGAATCATTCAAAATTGGAGCACTGTTGTCTTTGAGGTCTGCAGACAGCTCTTCGCAGATGTAGGAAGCTGTACCAACCGAAAAGTCACCTTCGTTCTTGTCAAAGGTGGGATGCAGTCCTTCGGGTGCAAGATCGCCAACGTAACTGTGCGACTTGATAAATCTAAAGCTGGCCGCTTGTTTGCAATTCCAGCTCGGAATCGATATTTCAGAAGGTACAGAAGAAGCACGAGCTTGTCTGTTTCTTTTGGGGACCGCCACTGCAAGGTATGGCAATTATATTTGATTTAAAAACTTAGAAAACGAGCGCTAAGTTAATAAGTTTGCTTGTGTTATAATAAATGAGATGCTCTTGAAAATATAGTTAACGATAGGTTTATGAAAATTTCCATAAAAATAGTAGCAGTACGGCATAGTGCAGGCGACTCTTTATCTTTCTGGTGAAAGGGATACCGGTTAAAAAACTCTTCCAAGATAAGCGTTAACTTTTCATAATTTGATTTTATGCCGTTTGAGATTAAAGCTAACTCAAGTAATAAAAAAAATTAGAATTTTTTGATGCCCGTGTACAAGAGTAAAAAAAATAAACCTTCCACGAATTTCCCAACTCCCCAAACACTAACAGAAATATTAGCTTCTACGCGTTGTTCACACTCGTTTTCTGCAAATTATAGACTAAATAACTTTTTTTTCAAAGCTGTGTACTACGTTTACCGGTTAAAGGAGTAATGCACGTTAGGCTACTAATATTGCAACTCCCGGCAAATAAGGAAGGTATTGTCCTCACTTTTATGATTTTATTGTCAGGGTCCAGTTTTACATGGTCTTCAAATTCTAGTTCGCTTACAGGCCCCATTTTTAAAAGCCAAGGGGGTATCTTATAAAATAAGAGGCATCGTTAATAACATTATAACTTTAAATTGAAACAGGAAAAATAAAATTGAAAGACTAAAAAAATGTAGATCAGTAAGTGCATACGTTGGAAAGATCGGGCTTCGTGGAACACTTCATACAAACTATTCTACCTTTAAAATATAAAAATTATAAATAAAATAATAAAATATATAAAAACGGTAAACCAAGTTCGTCTTTTTCGGAGAAAGTGATAATTTTTGACTTATTTTTAGTAAATGCACATTCCACCAAAAACCTGTGTATAAGTCAAAGCGAATAAGAACTTAGCGTGGCCAAAAAAAAATAGTAAGTGGAACTATGTACTCATATATTTATAGTATTACATAAGAGTTAGAAGCTATTTTCAACATTGTGAGTAAAAATGAATATGTTATAGGTTGCCTCTTATACCATTCTTGAGTTAGTCTAAAGTTCCAATACTTTTCTGCTGATATGGGCAAAGTAGCTGAAGCATTAACTGTAATCATGCTTAGAGTGTTGAGTTGAGTAGAATTGCATTCTTAAGTAAAATCAATACAAATAAACTTAACTATTTTAAAAATGGCAATTTATAAACAAGGGGGCCTCCCGTAATTAAAAATTTTTAAAATTTAATAGAAAAGCGATTAATACCAACAAAACTGGAAATGCTACAAACTAACTTGTATAACACAATTTGATTTTGCTTTACAGACCGTAATATTTGCAAGTTTTCCGTTTATCATTAGCCAATAGTAATTATTGCCTATATTAGGGTACCCATGAGAGGTACAAAAACTAGGTTACGGATACCATGATGTGCTTTTTTGTATGAGTTATATTACTAATAAATTCAAAAATTACATTTTACTTTATCGCTGCTTTTATATATTTAGCGAGATTTACTAGAAGTGTGTAAGGTGATAAAAGCCTTTCTTTTCCTAACAGGAGGATTAAGGCTTTATAAGACATGTGGGATACCATTTCATGCAGTGGTATACACATTAAACCACAAAACTGACTTGTGTTAAAAAAAATTTATATTTTGTCACTTCGCATGAACTGGGCGAACCTGTAATCTCTATAGCGACTAAAAGGCTCCCTTTAAAGGTTGTGACAAACATCCACATGCATTGGTCATCAGAATAGGATTATGTTACCTTAATTTAATGTCTCTTAATATAGTTATAATATTTAAGTTTGCCTTTTACAAATTAATAATTTAAGAAACCTTACAATTTACAGGCCAAAAATATGTTTTGGATGATAGGACCGGGTCACATAAATATATTAATATCATATATAATGCTATTAGCTGCAACTAATCTGTTTTATGTGAACATACCTTTACCCATATGACGAAAAAGTTTAGAAGTTCAGGAGTCATTTCTCTCTTGCAATGTAGATTAAAGTTGCCGGTAACTCAGACTCAGAAAAAAATTGGTGCTGGCTTCTTTTTATTTAGATTAATTTTAGTCACGAGCATTGCATTTACCAAATTGTTCATAATATATTTGCGTTTTAGCACTTAAACAGATTTTCAAAATATACTACTTAAAGTAAATAGCTGATAGAGTTACCTATTTCACAGTTAATCGCCTTTTTCTTATTCTTTTTTAAATCCTTTTTCCTCCTACCATTTACAGTTTCTAAGTTCTATTTCTAATCCAAGTTCTAGGTTATAAGATCTCTTCTCGCCTATGCACAGTAGTTGCTTTAGTTTTGTCCCTCCGCACCTTTCTTGTTCTAATATCTTAGCTCTGTCTTACCTCCATCCTTGCTCTAAGTTCTTAATAGTTTTACTTTTATCTTAATTCTACTTTTACAATTTAGCTCCCAAAGAGTACAATTATGGACGCCTACTATCTTGAGAGAACCTTACGATCTTATGACGTAACAAGTAGCCTCATTAGTGGGGACAACTATAAATTTTCATACGACGTGTTACTATTATGTGTTTCAGTCAAGCTCTAACCTACCCGCGAGGTCGTTATTTCCCTTTCATCACTTAAATTTATATAAAAATGGGGTAAGGACTGGGTCTAGTCTGATCATGTGTCGTTGCTCGTTCGTCTATATATAACGGCCTAAGCGTTACCATAAGCTAAAATGAGATTTTTAAACTAAATGTTCTTTTTCATATACGTTGAGGTAATAATTATACGACAGAAAAGTAAAATTACTTTTCATTTTTGGGCATTTACCGTATAAATATTAATTTTAGTTTAGTGTTTGCAACCTTTTATTAAAGTTCGGTGGGGTTGTCGTTTTTGTTTGTTTTGCCCTTTTTTTATATTTTATGTATAATTTATATTATAAGTTAATGCAAAATAAAAACTTTGCGTTTATGTTTTAAAGAGTTTTAGAGGTTTTAAATATTTATTTTATTTTTCTTGACCAACAAAATTCCTATAAAAAAATTCACTCGCTGAAAAAAGGGCTAGCATTTGACTTAGTACAAAATAATAATAGTGTTGGCAACCTTTCATCTAACTATAAATAGTTTACGCTAGAAGAGTAAAGCATAAGAATTCTAAAGCATTTAAAGAAGGCACATTTAACAAATACCTTGACTATTAAAAATTATAGAATAGGAAGCAAGTAGATGCACAGCCAACGAGTTTAAATTTTATAGAACATGAGTTACATTATTAATATATATATTATTTTCACTTACCGTTTAGACCGTAAGTCAACTTCCCATCATACAAAAATAAATAATCAAATTTGCAAAGAGTATATATGTAAAGGACTATAATTGCTTTATTTTCTATGATCAAGTTCAAAAACATTAAATAAAGCTCTTTACACATTAACTTTAGCGAGCCGTCCTTCTGGGCTTTAATAGGAATGCAAGTTACAAAAATTGGTTAATTTTTTATCCCACGCTATCGCTGCGTTCAGTTTTAATCCAATACATATAGGAACCCAAAGCGCAAACGCTTAAAAGAGAAATAACGCTAGCTAACGAAAAGATCTGATACTTGTCTAATATTCCAGCAAGTAATGGCATAAGCACTCGTCCTAAAGAACCACAAGTACCCAGCCAACCCATTAAAGGTCCTTGGGGGCGGCTTCCAAGAAGTTTGGAAAAACTTGAAACCAAAGTGGTCTGCTTCGGTGGAAGGGCGATACTCCAAATTAATATAACCCCCAAAAAAAACAAGGGTAGGGAAGATTCAGAGAAGCTGCACAGTAAAACTGTACTCCCAGAGGAAATGGTAATAAGAGAAAGTAATAAGATGGTATTCTCCTTCAAACACTTTACTAAAAATAATGTTATAAGAAACATCAACAACCCACCCAGACCCAGGAATCCAAATAGTTTTGAAGCGGCAAGTGCCTTCGCTACTTCCCCTGTAATGTGTTTAAAATCGGCGTAGATACCCACGGTTAATGTTTCCACCAAGGAAAATACTGATCTGGATGAAAAGTTAAGAAACATGTAAAGAAAAATCCCCGCGACAACTTTTCTTTCGAGTTTTTCGGAACCTCTGCTAGCAGGAAGTAATATTCTTGCGGACTGTGCTCTTTCACATTCGACATTACAGAAAAGTAGAGCACTTAGCCCAAGGTTTATCACGTTGGTAATTATAATAAGAAAAGCAGGTGCCGTGAATGAATTCCAATGCTGACTTTCAGAATTGCGTACAAGGAGGAGAGGTAAGAAAGGTGCTATGCCCAAGGAAGCATACTGAGCGGCGCCATTCAAAGCTAGGTAACGGGTTCTTTGCTTTAGTGTTGTAATTTTAGAGGTGTGAGAGCGAGCTATGCTAAGGACACCGGCCGCAATGCCGTGAGTAAGGCGAGAAAATATAAGCAACCACGGGTTTGGAAAAGAATAAGCTAAAAGATAAAGAGCAGAGCCTAAAATAGCTAGCAAACTGGAAGTTATTAATATAATTTTGTCGCTCATAATTGAGCTTAAGTGACCCCACACAGTGGAACCAAGCATTCTACCGATACTGAATGAGGAGATGGTAGCTCCATTAAGAAATTGTCTAGAAAAATTTCCTTTCACACGATCTGCCATGCCTGTTAAAAAGTTTTGTTTTAATAAAGTTGTTAATAACACATTTTAAAATATTATATAATAGTTTACTTAAAATTAGTCTTAATTATATATTATATTTATAGGCTGCAAAATATTTTGTAGGATATGACTAAAATTAAGACAACATTCCTTGTACATATGTTACACAAGATTTTTACAAAAAAAATTACACACAATTTAATCACCTATAAATTTATTTTACTAAAATTACAAACTTTGACTACCATATAAGTAATTTTGTTAGCAAAGTTAAATTAAACAAAAAATTTTTAAGGTTAAGAAATGCGTAAAGATAGAGTTAGACTATTCTTCTTAGTTAATATCATTATAACTATTAAAAGAGAATAAAGAATAATAAGTAAAGACTATCACCCCAATTAGAAGGTATGAAAACTCCTCTTGAAAACTCTATACAAAAAGTTGTGGTGTAAGTTAATACAAATATATTTATAAAAAAATTTTTTTTGGAAAGTGAAAATTCTTCTGAACGGCTATCTAGATCATCTGAGCAAAGGTCATTATTATAGTCACTCTCATCAGAGTTTTGATGGTGCTCCAAAATATCTTCACCTGACGTATAATCTAAAAGGTTTCTTTCAGCATCACTACTTTCCATAGACTTGCGCTCATTTCCAAGATTCAAATATTGAGACATTTTGTAACGTAAATTTGGTTAGAACATAAAAAGCTGTTGTTGCACACTAGGTAGTAGCAAAATTTTAACCTCGTATTCAACTGTATAAACTCTTCCAATAATGCGTGGTTTGTTCTTCGGCTTTACCAATTGCAAACAGCAAAGATAAAGTTTAACC